TGTGGAAGCAGGAGGGTGAAAGCTTACCAGATATGGATTCCAGGCCTCTCTCCGCTGCCTTCTCCCAGGGCCTTGGAGAGAGAGAATAATTTAGGGGGGATGTGAATAGACTGCAGTTACCACAGGTAAGGCACCCATGGTTGGTGAACGCGAGAGGCTAAGAAATTGGTCTCCGTCCGTGTCTGTGAGCTTGGCCCTGATGCTGTGTTCTCCCGGTGCGGCTGAGAGCTCAGTACAGCTCACAGATTGTCACTCTCCCATGGCCACAGGACTAGAAAGGGGCAGAGCTGCAATCCAAATCCAGGGTTTCTTCCTGACCCTGTTTTACTACCACCGAGTAACTTCAGCCTGGTTTAAAGGTTTCCTGGTGAAACTTGGTGATTAACTGGAGGAAACACAAGTTTCCCAGTTTGTCACTGATCTAGCTATTTGGCTTATATGTCTTCATCTGAAAAACATTTTCCTACCAATACTGCCCAATTATTTTCACAACCATGCAGAACAGGAGAGCTACTCTTAGGGGGCAAAACAGTCCCATCCCTTTGTCTTTGAGCTCCTTAAAATGACAAGTCCCTCAGATCCAGGCCTCATGGCCCAGTTCCTGGCAGAGCACTTGGCATATGGTAGGCACTCACCAAGTTCACAGTTTGGAGAAATGGTTTGCACAAAGCTTCTTCCTACTAAGAAAGGGAGACTCTTGGGCTCATCTCTAGCAAGCTGTGTGACCTTGGCTGGACACTTAACCTCCCTGTGCCTCTGGTTTTTGTCTGAAGAATGCATTGATGTTGAGATGTTTCTCCCCTGGCTGTGTTCTCACACTGATGAAACAGCAGTGCACTCTAGAGGAGAAGATGGTTAGCTGTTTCATAGGTTGTGTTTTTAGCTTGAAAGAGAGACTCATAAACCATGCTCATAGATGAGTCACCCATGAAAAGCAATGAAGTACAATCTAATGTTAGGCTTCAGAAACAGCCCTGGAAGATCTGGGTGGAAAATGTGTTTTTACTGGATTCCCTACCAGCAATCACAAATACACACCAGTGCACATCACCGTCAGCTCTTTTTTACAAACCTTTCACAATCATGTCACAAAATACCTAAAAACTTTCTTTGAGATTCAGGAAGGACTCAGTGTACATGATAGATGGTACATGGGCTTTGGAACTCAACAGACCTGTGCTGGAAATCCAGCCCATCCAAGGATTTTCTTAGAAAAATTATCCTCTCTCTACTACATTTTCCTCAACTATAAAATAGGCTTAATAATACATCTCTCCTAGGTCATTATGAATATTAAATTAGGTAATTTCTGAGTTGTTGTCAGGACATTATAAGGGGCTTCTGGGAAGTTGCCCAGCAACACCAGGAATACACACATTACTCATTTTCTTTGTTTTTATTAGTATCTCCACTGGCTCTCAACAAAGCCAGAATCAAAAGAACAATGAGCCTGGGGATTTAAGGCATCAGGGACACATGAGTGGGTTAATATTTTCAGTTGAAGCAAATATGTGTCTGTGTGGGGAAGGGGAGTTCACATTTCATGGGCCAACTCTGACCAAGGCTTGAACCAGCCTCCTCTGCCCGGCAACTAGTGGTTGTGCAGTAGTGGCTCTGGTTTAGGGAGGATGGGAGACGTTGGGGGAGATGGGGAGCCAGGAAGAATATTATTTGTAAGGGTGAGGCAGGAGACTTGTGTCCAGTAGCAATGGAACCAGAGAGGTGGGGCCAGATTTGAGACTTCCTCAGGAAATAAAATACAGGAGTCCTGCTGACTTGAATCTCAAGTGTGACAGACGCTGAGGCACCTGTGATGCCTCACAGGTCTGGGGCTTGAGTGACTGGGAAGGCGGGGACCTCCTGTCGAGATGGTGAACTCAGGAAGGGAAGAGGACTGAGTTCCCTTTTGAAACATGTTGGCTTAGGTGCCTAAGGACTCCTAGGAGGCGGTGTGCACCAGGCATCTGAATCATACCCATTTGGGATTCAAGAGAGAAAGAGAACAGTGCCTATGGTCACTGCGGAAAGTGAGGTATCCAGTACATTGGGTGAGCCTTGCTTGGGCAGAGGAAACAACCACCAAAAGCTTTCTTTTCCGGAGGGAGTTCTACCAAAGACATTCCTGAGGACAGGTGGGCTGAATCCTGGACTCAGGAGCCTGAAGAGATCATCTGGGCTAAACTCACTTTGCAGCTGAAGAAACTGGGGGCCATGATGCCCCACAAGCCTTCTCCAGGATCCCACAGCAAGTGCCACCGTTACCAGCCCCAGGTCTCCCAGGGCACCTCCTTCTCCACACAGGGGGTCTCCCTCTGTACTTCCTCTCCTTGACTCTGCCTCCCCTTGGCTGGGACGGGCTAGGCTGAGGAAGGCTTTAGGAATGGCCAAATGCAAAAGGAGGATTAGGAACAGGAGCAGCAGCAGTGATGGGACAAAAAGGAGAGGTCGAGGCTCAGTAGGGGCCTGAGCGCATGGATCTAGCACATTGGCGAGAACCAGCAAGCTGACAGAGAAAGACCCTTCTAGAAATCACCCCCTCATATGATGAAACAGGCATCTCTTAATTGGATGGATGGGTCTTTCATTGGTTCATGTATCCTATAACGAAGCAGGGCTTGGCATCAGCATCACTCCGACCTTTCACTTTTAGATTTGTAAATGTTGAGAAACCTTGTTGGGATAAATAGGTTGGTAGGACTAAGAAGAGTGATGTCACTTAACCGTTGGACTTCTTCTAAGATACAGGTCAAAAGCGCTCCATCACGAGAATCTATTTTGCATGGTCTATGAGCTGACAGCTTGATTAGGCTCTTCTCCAAGGCTGTTGAAGGCTGAGAACTGGAAAGCACTAAACTTGCAAAGGGAGTTTTTACTCAGTCTTTTGCTTCCTCAACACCTACACCAATATCTCAAATTGTCTCTTTGTTGGGCATCTTCAAACTTTTTTACACACCAGGGCAACACATGGTAAAGAGAAATGGATGATTGTGAAGGAGGGTGCTGCCATCAATACATACGCCTTGGAAAATTCTACAAATTTTATAGCCAGGGCCAGAACTAGTGAGATGAGTGAGGCATTCAACTGGGGTACAAAATTTAAGGAAGTGCCCCCCAAACTCAGTAATTATGGTAAATATTTGAACATGATGTTTTTAAAAATAAAAATTAACGCCAAAAAATCCATGATAAAAAAAAAACACACCAAGATTTAAAATAAAGACAAGATCCTAGGATAAGTGTACCCCAGCTTAAAGTCCACAAGTCTCTGTTTCAAATGTAAGAGCTTTGGTGGATTATTAAAGATGGGTAATGATTCTCTTGCTCATACTGCTCCCTGCTGCTGGAAGCAGGCAATGCTCACTGTGGGCCCCAGGAGTGCCTCAGCCGCACCTCTCCACCAGGCAGGACCCACGCTCCCACACAGAGGCATGGTGCCCTCTTGCCGGCAGCCACCCAATGCAGGAACTTTGAAAAACCCATAGCCACCTACCTACCTCCTGCCAGATAGTTGAGTGGGATAAAATGAGCCCAAGTCTCAGAGTTGTCAGACCTAGATTTGTGTCTCAGTTTTACTTCTCACTTGCTGGGCCATCCTGAAAAAAAATCGCATCACCATTCTGAGCCTCAGTTTCTGCATCTGTAATGGATCTCATTAACTCTTCCTTTAACTGTTGAATTACACGAGATGCTTTTCTGTGACAACGCTGAGCAGACTGGCACAAGGTACACACTACCTCCACTCCCCTTGATCAAATCAAACTATCATCAGTGTATTACTGAAGGCAAGACACACAAGAAGACAACCAGGGAGAAAAGGTGCCACAGAAGTCCAGACAGTGGATGCTGCTGTGGCGGATGAGATAGGGAAGACCTCCCCTAGAGGGTGTCACTAGAGCTAGGCCTTCATGATTAGATGGGCCAGGTCACTCCAGGAGCTGGCCAGTAGCCTCTGGAGGTCACCAGGCCACTTCGATGATGCTTATCTCAGGAAAGTTCCAGTAACATGACACAAGCATCATGTGGTGGTGGAAAGGCCAAGGCCCTTGTAATCCTGGCTCTGCTGCCTACTACCTGTGTGACCAAGGGAAGTCACTTAACTTCCCTGCGCCTCGACTTCCTTTTCTACGAAATTTGGATAATAACACATCTTGCCCTGGGTGGGTAAGATTAAATAAGACGACATACCTAAAGTTCCGGCGATGATGTGGGCTCAGTAAGTGGTAGTGGTTACTGCTAGTGTGGAGCTTTCTGTGAGGATTGGGAAAGGAGGGGGACACACCAGTCAGGAAATGTTGGCAGCTGTTATATTTGGCTCCTGGACTAGCCCCCTTGTTGGGCAAGAACGGGGTTGCAAACATCCCCTGTGAGCAGCCTGTGCTCTCACCCCACCCCAACTTCCCCAACAAGACTCAACACATCAGTGCACCCCAGAAATGAATCCGCAACAGGAGGGGGTCGGGGTGGGGGTGTCTCTCCTCCCCTGGAGTTGCAGAGGGGCTGCTGGATTCCAACACATGGAAATGGAGTCTACAATAAGAAGCCTGGAATTTTGAATAGGGGCTGTAACTTAGATAACAATATGTTATCAGTGTTCATTTCCTGACCTTGATAATAGTGCTGTGCTTATGGGAGAAAATGTCCTTGTTTTCAGGAAACACACTGAAGTATTTAGGGGTAAAGAGGCATCACGTTTGCAATTATTGTCAAACAGTTAAAGAAAAAAGAAAAGGATAAGGAAATATGGGAAAATATTAATGTTTGGAGAATCTGGAGAAAAGGTATACAGGAATTCTTGCAACTTTTCTGTAAGTGGGTATGAAATATAAAGTTCTGTTTTAAGGCAGCAGCAGTCTGGGGTTCCCTCGTCCCCCCTTTTCTTTTCCTCCTCCTCCTCAGTGAGCCAGCTCACCCTTTTTCACTACCTCCCTCCTCGCTTCCTTCCACGTGCCCTGGGCTCCCGGGCTCTCCCTGCCTCACGGACCGGCACAGACCGCAGCGACTCTCTGCCAAGCTGCACGCACTTTATTTGCAAAAGGAGGCTCCCAGCGTGCGGGGCCGGGATGCGGAGCATAATGGCCCCACACCCCGCTTCCCCGCTCACGATCCCGCTCGCCCCTCGCCCCGGCCCCGCCCCACCCGGCCAGCTACACGATGGCGAACTGGCAGACGTAGGGCAGCTTGTCGCGGCAGCGCTTGTCGAACCACTTGCCGTTGGCAGCACCGGCCAGGGCGGCGCAGTTCTCGACCTTGCCGCCGTCAGGCTGCGCGGTGATCTCCGTCTCCCAGTTCTTGTAGGTGATGTGGCCGCCGGTCATGTCCACCCAGGAGCCTTCGGCTGCCATGTCATTGAAGCCCAGCCAGACCTCGGCCTCGCTGCCCACGCTCTGGCGTAGGTACTCGTACAGGGCGTCATTCTCGGAGCCTGTCTTCGGGGTGCCCAGGGTGCCCCCGCGCGAGATGCAGTCCTCGCTCGCCTCGTGGAAGGTCTTTGCCAGGACGAAGGCCAGAAAGCACTTCATGTGCACCTTGGTGCCCTTCAGGCAAACTGGGAAGGGGAGAAATGGCAGTCACCCAAATGTCTCCCGTTCCTGAGGCAAGAGCCAACGGCTAGAGCAGGCGCACCTTCCTCTTTCCCATCCCTGTCCATCTTATGTGCCCCGGTCCGGCCCCAGACCCACGCCAGAGGGCCGCGCTGTGGTGGACACTGATGCACAGCTCAGATCCCCGTTCAAGAGGTGGTTCCTTCTGGTGGGAGTGAGGTCAGCCCCCTCAGCTGCAGAGGGCCTCTCCCTGAGGTCACATCCTTCCCTGGTGCCACATCCAGTGCCTGGGGGATGCAGGAGTGTAAAGGGCAGGTCATCTCTGCCCCAGGCAGGATAATTCTGAAGGGGCTTTTCAGCATCAAGGTGCCACAGGGTGGCAGAGGCTGGCATTGAGCCTGTGCTACCCAGTGTATTTCCTGCCCCTCCCTCCATTTATCAGGGGATAAATTAACTCCATCTCAGAGTGAGCTTCCCAGGTTGCCCCAGCCACACCCTCCCTAAGAAAGAAGTTTGCAGAGCCAGGGGACATGGTGACCCAGAATGTAGACCACACTCCAGGTACCCAGGACCCCAAATCCCTGCCAGAGGTGCCCCAGCAAGCTCCCAGCACCTGCCAGGGTCATCTTCTGGGATCAGTGCTCCTTGGGGAGGGGCTGGGAGGACGGAGTTGAGACAGCAAGATTCTTGGACAGAAATGATGGCCCAGGCAGTGGTAGGCAGTAGACCAGGGACTAGCTCTCTCAGGCATGGAACTCTAAGGAGTCCAAGAATTCTAAATGTAATGAAGGTATATATTTGGTCAAGTTAGGAGCATAGAACATTTTCATGGTTTGTTGTTGTTGTTGTTTTAGTGGTAGCAGCATTCCCTTTATTTATTTATTTAGAGGAGATACCAGGGATTGAATCCAGGACCTCATGCATGCTAAGCATGTGGTCTACCATGAGCTATACCCTCTTCCCCCAAAGTTTGTTCTTTAGCTTGGCTTATAACTTAAATGGATGTATGCCTCCATTTGTCTTCTTGCTGCTGACCCCCAAAATGTTAGGGGTGGATCTGCACCCTGTCCCATCCCCTCACTCACCCACTCACTCAATTACTTTTGTTTAACACAGCTTCATGTCCCCGTGGGCATCTGACACTCCTGGAACTCTAAACCCTGGTCCACCGTGGAGGTGTCTATACTCACAGACTGTCTGAAGTCAGCCGGCCCCATCCTTTGCTATCCTGCAGCTCATACAAGCCGGACTTCATTGCCCTTCCCACGCTGCCTTTCCTTCCTACCGGGGACACTGTCCCACGCTGCCTAGACCCTCTCAGGATGAAGGACTGATTACCCCAGCCAGTAGGAGTGCTGCGGGGAGAGCAGCCTGCACCCAGTGAGAGCCCTCTTGCCGCAACTCAGGACAGCTCTGAAGGGTCCTCCCCTCATCAGGGCTCCCTCTGCAGTCCTCCCTCTGCAGCTGGCTGAGGCTTTCATTGAGACAGTGAACTCTACCCACTCCTGCTTCCTTCTGCCCCGTCCCTTCCCCAGGCACCCATCCTTAGGGTGCCCCGATAAACCTCCTGCAAGCTAAACTCTATCTCAGGGCTGCTTCCTGGGAACCCACCCCGCAACACTCCCTCTAATGTAGTGTTAGTTTTCAGTGCCTTATCATGAGATGTTACTGACATTTTGTTGCTCTGGCCTATTTGTGACCCATGCTAGCCCTCCATAGCTTTGCTTCTGCTGTTCTCTCTGCTTGGAATCCCTCTTTGTCTTCCTACACGTGCTTTGAGGGCTCCAGTGAATACACTGATTCCATGAATATACTGAGGCTCCCAGAGAACAGGACCCCGGCTGGGTCACCTCTGCCTCCTTGTGCCAGGGTTGGGGAGGTCACATATATTTGCTGATTGGAGGAGGGACAGTGCAGACAGTGGGAGGGGAGCGTTGTTCCCCTAACCCCTGATTCTCTCAACTCTTCACCTAGGTCAGCAGAGCTCAGGAATGCCTTGTGTGGGATTATTGACAAGCTGTTTTGTGTGCTGTGGTGGTAAAGGAGGGGATAATGAGAGCCCATGAGCCTCCTGGGAATCAGCAAATGTGGAGGGTGTTTGGATCTCCGTGTGCTGTGGACTTTGCACAGAAAGGTCCCCACCACAGCACGTCATATCAGGGGGCAAGTGGTATCTGGGTTGCACAGACTTAACTTAAGCACAAAGCTTAGTCAGAGAGAGACCCTAGAGCTTGCCCTGCAAGTCTGCCCCCAATCCTTCCACTTAAGGTGAGGAAACTGAGGCCCCAAATGGCACTTTGCTCATTCTAAACATTCCCCCGTGGCAGACATTGTTGGTAGACTCAACCAACACCCCTTCCCAACTCCTTTCCCCTTCTCACTACAGAGGTGGGAAAAGCTTCATTCTTGCATTGAAGCTACAGGTGGTCATGTGGTAGAGCTCTGACCAATAGAACTGGAATGGAAGACCTTCACTTTCTGGATAAAAGGGACACATGTGGCTGGGCTACCCTTCCTCCTTCATCTTGCCTTGAATGCACTCATGATGCCTGGAGTTGAGGCAGCTGTCTTGGCACCATGAGGTGAAGCTTCTGAACAAAAACTTAGAGCTGCCTACTTCTGGACTCAACTCTTTGTTTAAGCCACTGTTAGGTTTTTCTATTACTTGAAGCCAAAACATGGTAGACACGTCCTTTCTAGAGCCCCTTACTGCTAAACTAAGCAAGTTTTACAGTCGTGTTTGTCCTCCCTTCAAAACGTTTTACTGTGTTGGTGTGTGGCAGGCCCTAGAGACAAGGGCAATCAAAAGCAAACAGGACCCCTGTGTTCCTGGGGCTTATAGTCTACTGGGGGAGGCAGACATAAATCGACAAGTGAATATATCACTGCAAACTTCAGTAAATGTGATAAAGGAAAGAACATCATTCTGTAAGAGTTGATAACTGAGGAGCCTGATTGAGATGAGGGATTAGAGATACCCAAGATGGTGATGCTAGAGGCATTTATTAGGTGGATCCCAGGGGAGCAATTCAGGCCAGAACAGCATGTGCAAAGACCCTGTGGTGAGAGGGACAGAGTGTGGTGCTTTAGAGGGACAGAAGGATGGCCAGTGTGCTCCTGAAAGAGAAGATCTGAGTGGGAGGGAGTGCGTGAAAACTGCCCAATGATAAGGACCCTAGAGGTTTCTGAGGAGGGAGGAGGGGAAAGCCCAAGGCCCAGGGATGGATACACGTGGTCAGAGAAGCAACAGATGAGAGGGTGGCTGTGGGCACAGGAAGGTTTGTAGATTTCCTAAGAAGGAGCCAAGGCAATTCCCAGATGATAACCTGAGAGGCAGCATAGCAGAGCCAAGACAAGACTCTGCTTATTTCGGCTGTTGGTAAGACACTCAGCTTCTCGTTGGAAAATAGAGGTGGGGTTAGAGTAATAGGTCCACTGCATGGACTTTCTGTGTGAGTTAATGAACATAAAGCACTCAGAACACTGCCAAGCGCTCAGGAAGCTCACGTCTAAGTGTTACCTGTTACTGTTAGTCTGTATTGTGTGTTCTCCGGCTCAGGGTCAGGAAAGAGTGGGTGAGTCTGAGATGTGTGGAAAATGGAGACAATATGAAAGGAACTTGGTGGAGAGAAAGAGAACAGGTTGCCCAGGCAGGCTGGCCAGGCAGTGCTGGTGCAGGTGGCTGCCAGCTGGCCGTGTCCCCAGGCTCCAAAGCTGTGTCTTGTCCGTCCTTGCTTGGCGGGTTAGTGCAGGGCCAGGAAGGCCAAAGCCCACCTTTCCTCACACCCAGCACACACCGGGCAGCCTGCTTCCATTCTGATCCTAACTGTGCTAATGAGCCAGGTGAGCATGAGCAAGGAACAGAACCGCTCTGTGCCTCAGTTCCCTTCTTTAATATAGGGATGATAAATCCTGCCTCAGTATAATGACAATGATGAAGAGTGACAGCATCAGCAAAGCTGCTGATGGGGTGGAGCTTACATGCCCTGTAAGGCCGTGGGGGCTGGCTCAGTGGAGGGTCTCCTGGGGGTTCATCAGGGTGGCCTCTGCTCCACAGAGCGTGCCAGGGCTCATTTCCAGGGGGTGGTAACAGATTCTTATGCGAGAGCTGCTTGTCCTTCTGGGACATTGCTGCTTCCACACATCAGCGGATCCTCCCAAGAGGAAGCAGGCTGAGGAGTGGGCTCCCTGAACCCCATGCCCTGGCCTACAGAGCTGGCCTGCAGGAGCCAGTGAGCGCTCTAGTGCTGGCTGGAGGCTACAGTGGATTGGTGGCTGCTGGCCTGAGCTCTTCTGTCCAATGCGTCCCTGCACGGAGAGGCCGCCACATGCACTCACCTGTCTGCAGGGCCTGCTGCTCCTTGAGCAAGGCCACCTCCTGGGCCAGGCTATCCACCTGGGTCTTGAGCTCCTCAATCATTTTTGGGCTCACAGCATCTAGGATGAAGTCAGAAGGAAGTGGTGACAATCACAAACACGTGAGGGAGGCAGTGGGGATAGGGGCAGGGCAGGGACTGGACAGGGTGTCGGCCACAAGGGGACGGGGAGACTCTCCTTGACCTTGATATCTTGGCGGACTCCCTCTCTGTCTGTTTCTGCTGGTGGTACACTGAGTGATGGCTTTTGATTTTCCTTCTGCCAGGGGACCATCCTTCACTTGCTCTTGCTAACATGAGACCTGTGCTGCATTGTTTAGGAGGGTCACTGGGATCAAATGGAGTTGGGATTGGCAGAGGCTGGGTAGGAGGTGCAGGCAGAGCCTTCGTGACCCCCAACCTCCCTCCCAGCTCCAGAGGAGAACAGAGCACAGGAAGCAGGGCCAGGGCCCCTCATCCCCAGTGACCTCCCAGATTCACTTTCCCAGGCTGGAGGAATAAGACATAGGGCAGGAGGGTAGGTGCCCCAGCCTGGAGCTGAGCGTGTCAGTACAGGTTAGCGTGTACGTGGGCTCTGAGGTCACACGGAGGTGGGTGACCAGGGAAAGGTGCTCAGCCTCTGGACCTACTGTCCCATCTGTAAAATGAGATGATAATAGCCCCACCTCTGAGGACTTTGAAGTAGACTAAAGACTAAGAGAAATAAAGCATGTGACCATTGCTTGGCTCACAATCAGCCCTGTGACGTGGGTAATGTGTCTCTTCTGTACCACCACCCATTCACAGGCCGGAAACTAGGCCATACTGAAACGACTCGCCTGAGATGGCAGCGCCAGCAGCCAACAGGGCTGGCCTGAACCCAAGTCCACATGGCTCCAAGCTTGTTCTCCATACCTCCGTGATGGCAACGGATTCCTAATGCAAGCCTTCCTGAGCACAGAGTCCCTTTTGGGAGTCAGTTATGCATGCATGAGAGGCAGGTGGGAAACGTCTGTCTCCGTGTGTGTAAGTTGAGAGCTGAGTTGGTGGACCCCAGTCTTTCCGAAATCCCAGAGGCTTCAGGAAAAGCTGAGCTCAGCTTGGGTGGAGAGGGGGAAGTGCTTCCATGGCTCATCTGGCTGTGCCTGCATAAAGTCCATGGTATGAGGGGTGAAGTCAGTTACCCCTTTGTCCACCGCAGATGCCTTTGCAGGGGAATCACAGGAAACATGTGAACAAGAAAGATACTGGCAAATACAGAAATTCATGATGTAGCTTACCAAATACAAGGAAATTATCCCCAGACGAGCAAGGCAAAACAGCGGGTATTTGGGGCTGGCAAACTAGCCTGACTGGGTTATGTGTGCCTCCCACTGGGTCTCTGCCTCAGTGGTTCACAGCTGCTCTGTTCCCAGTCATGTGATGCACCAGCACTGGGCGCCAAGTTGAGTACTGCACAAGGGCACTCGGCTGAGAGGATAGAGGGGGGCTGATGTCCAGCCCCTAAGCCTTGCCCTGGCTGTGCTGTCTGACCAGACCAGAGAAAGGATGCCCATCTGTCATTTGTCAGTGCAGAGGGGAGACCTCTTGTGATTTGCACAGAGGTGCCCTGGTATACAAGGGACCCTCCAGGGACTGGCCAAGGAGCCAGATGCTAACAGAGCTCCACTGAGGAGGGAGTGGGAGTTGGGGTGTTTCTACAGCTCTGGGCTGGGAGTCGGAGCCCTTGTGCTGCCCCTCTCTACCTCCGAGCCTCAGATTCCTGATGCGTGTTATTGAAACAGATGCCTTCCAGGTCCCCAGGTCCCTGTTCTAGGGGTCTGTGACCCCCTATGAGGCCATCCTGCCCACCTGAGCTCCTCTGCAGGTGTGGCCGTGTGGCCCTTGGAGCTCCAGATGCCTGAGCCCTTCCTGCTTTACCTCTGGCTGACCCCACACAGCCAGCTGAGGCCACACCCCACACCATCGGCAGATGCTCCCCAAAGCAGCCTGGGCTCCCAGCCTCCTCACCCCACCCTGGGGGCCAGCATGGGGCGTGGCATATGCTGTCCTTTCCTCCGCTTGTCCATCCTGCCAACTTTTCCACCACTCGACAGTCACTGAGAGGGTCTCTATGGGCATGACGGTCCTTCCTCTGGACTCACTCCCCCACTTTTGTGCACTGGCCCCTATGACTAGATTGTTCCTGTGATTCCTAGTCCTGACTGCTCCCAAGAATCACTGGAAACTGGTGGGAAAAGCAGATGCTGGGGCCCACACCAGCCCCCTGATCCAGCATTTCTGGGGCTGGGTCCCAGGCACCTGGATTTGAATGTATTTCCCAGATGACGCTGACGCCTGAGTGAGAACCATGCTGTTCTCAGATCGATTCACATCTTAAGAGCAGGGACTGTGATCTGCTAGAGTGTTCAGCACATACATCGGCCCCTACATGGAGGAGGCACCAAAAGCATTTTTTGTGTAGGTGGGCAGTAGGTGGAAGGAAGGAAAACCAAGCTGAAGTGGGTTTCAGCGCGAGGCAGGGCTGGTCAGGACATTCCACTCTTGCTCTGTCGGCTGTTCTGCGGGCTCCAGAGCCCTGGACCTCCAGGGGCCATCTCCATGGAGACCACTTGGAACCGGGGTTCAAGTGTAGTAACTGGAGAGGACCAGGGCATTGTCTGGTCTGACCTTCTTGCCACATGATCAAATACGTATTAAATCTTTGGTAGACTTGAGAAATTAGCAACTATTTGCCACATTCAAAATTGTATTATTTGCCTTTGAAACTGTGTACCCTTTACAAAGAATGTCTGTTGGTGGCAATATTAGCTAATGCTCATGGACACAATGCATGCTCTTAAGTCTTATCTTTTTAGTGAACATTTTGTAGAAGGTAATATATGCATATAATTTTTAAAAACCCTGAACAGTTCAAAACATAAACGTCTCCTTCACAAGCAAGTCTGCCCTCAGCTCCCTAGTTTTTCTTCCCAGAGGTAATCACTGTTACTAACTCCTGTGGGTCCTCCCAGAAAAATGCCATGTACATATAAGTAACTATACATTTTCATATAAATGCCTTTTTCAAAAGCAGTGTCAGCATAGTATCCATTCTGTTTTGAACTTTTCATTTTTACTTTGTAAACTGAGCCTTGGGGATTATTTTCTGTCAGCACCCAGATCTGCCCCGTTCTGTGTTGCAGCTCTGTGGGTCTCCATGGTCCTGATGTGCCTCTGTGGACACCACCAGTCAGTGGCCACCGGGCAGCTGCCCATTTTCAGAGGCTCAGAGAGGAGCCTGAGGGCTGCGCCTGCCCCCTTCCTTTCTTGCCTTCTCTGTGCTCTTGGCCTCGGCCACCTGTTTCTCTGCCTAAATCAGCACTCTCATCCCCTGGAACTCTCTCCCCTTGCCTCTGAGCCCTGTGGGGGGTGTCAGCCCAGTTCTCGTTGCCATGGCATTTCACTAATGTTGTCTCAACATAGCCCAGGGTGACCTCACTGCCGGCAGGGCTCCAGGGGCAGGCCTTGCTGAGGCCAAGGCAACTTAGGGACATCCCAAACCCAGAGGCAACAGAGGGAGAGCAGAGCTGCCTCTGCTGCCCCAGTTTGGGTTTGAACATTTTTATTTCCTCAAACCTGTGATACACTACAGGACTAAGAATTAATTTGTTCTTTTTTTTCCCTGCATGTCAAGTATGTCCTATGTGCTAGGCACTTTACATGTTTTGTGTCGTTAAATCTTCACGACAAGCCTTTGAGCAAATGCCACAATCCCCCTTTTACAGTTGAGAAACCCGGGATTTGGAGACGACAAAGCAGAGCCTGACAGCACTCCCTGATGAGAGCCAGCCATCTCCAGACTGCCCAGCCAAAGGTTTGATTTCTTTGCAATGTTGGGGTTGGGGGGAGGAGTGAATGTCAGATTAAGTGATCTGGAAGGTTGTTTCCTATTCTGAGAGTCAGTGACTCCTCCATTTCTGACAGCTGCCCCTGCTGCAGGGGAACTCTCCCAAGCCTCAGGGGGTACTTCACTCATGGAGAAGGAAAACAAAGGAAGGGCAGAGCATGAGGACCAGCAAAGGAGACGGCAACCAGCTCCCTGGAAGATGCGGAGGGCCCTGCCCCCCTCCTTACCTTTCTTGACATTTGCAGCCTTCTTGACCTTGGGGGTTGATACCTCGGCAGTGACCTGGGTCAGGAGGGAGAAGAGGCAGAGGAGCAAGTAGGGCCCCCAAAGCTCCATGCTGCTGCGCCGGCTGGAGCTGCTGCTGCTGCCTGTGGTGGGCCTGGGTCAGAGAGCGCTGGCAGCTGTAGCCCAGGCTGCACGTCTTAAGGCAGCAGCCACAAGGCCCTCTGTCCAGGAAAACCCTCCCAGACTTGGCTGTGGGAATGTTAAAAAAAAAAAAAAAACCTGCACAAGGAGGAAGGCCTGGGAGCCACAGAGCCTCGCTGTCCAGGGAACACCCACCCAGCATCCTGACCCCGCCTTCTGAAGCAGAGTCATTTTCTAGGATTCTGAAAAATACATGTTGGCTGTCATAGCTCACATCTGCTGAGCGGTTTCCTTGGGCAGGCGCTGGGTCATGCATTTCCCTGGCCTCACGGAGGCCTCACACGAGCAGTGAGGAAAGTGCTGTCCTTTCTATATTTTGCAGTTGAGGAAACTGAGGTTCATTGAGATTAAAGGAGCCCAAGCTACCCAGCAGTTAGGGACAGCGCCAGTATTTGACCCCAAGCAGGGTGAGTGCAGAACAGTGGTCCTACGATGTCCCCTTACAGACTGAGCTGGGGCTGATTGCTGGATTGTTTAGAGTGCTTGCTATGATTCTTTCACGGTTCTGTCTATGTACTTGATGCATCGTTGATTAAAAATACAAGGGAGTCCTCTCCTTTCTTCACCATCCTGTCCTGAAACAGAGGTGGCCACGGTGGGAGAAGGGGAAGTCATGGTGTCCCAGAGTGCTGTCAGAGATGGAACAGGGAGGAAATAATGTCCCCAAGGAAGGCAGCCTGGTGTGGGGTGCCAGGGCCTGGCAGGGGCGGAGGAGGGCATCCCCGGGGAAGCAGAGGTCCTGTATGAAGTGTTGGAGTCCAAGCAAGGAGAAGAAGGGGTCCACTTGGGAGAGCAGAGGTGAGAGATTGCTCACATACAGGGGCATCTATGGAATAAGTAAATCTATTAAAGACCAAGGGAGCCAGGTTTCTCATTGTCAGAAAAGGGAGGTACAAATAGAGAGAGAGAAAAAAACCTAGAATGAATCCTCTGCTATAGGATTAAAATTGGAGTTATCAGCGTGCAGTTGTGGACTTCAGCAAGTAAAGAGGAACCTATGAATGTTGGTGGAAATGTGCGCATCAGCTCCGCAGCCGTCTGGGAGGGGCCTTGGAGCAGCAACTCCTCCGCAGCCTTGAGCATGCCTAGCATCCGAGTGCCGGTTTCTAAATACAGCTTCCCACTATAAGAACCAGAGCACCTTGGAGGAATGGTTGATTCCAGCACTGGGGCAGAAGTAGAAAGTAAGCCTAGAACAAGTTGTTTCGCTTGAAAGCAAAGAAGTGTTTAAAGAAGGATGGGAACGTGCCAGGACACAAGGCAGCCTGAAGGAGCTTCCCGGGGCCAAAACCAGGGACAGTTTGAGCATCAAAATAGTGATAGTAACAGTAGAACAGGAAACCATGAGTACCCACAGATGTAAATAAGCAAATACACTGGAAGTCTGATTTTCATCATCTCAGATTACTTGCCCATAAAATCCTTATTAATTACAAAGAGGCAAGCGTCACATCACAGTGGAGAAGCCTGGCAGACATCAGTTTAAGCAAGTGACCAGAGTAAGCGTCATCAGTAATGCGCCAAACGCAGAGCCCGCAGCACCTGAGCACCTGTCAGGCTGCAGGGAGGGGAATGCAGCCCCACCTCCATGAGATTTCTGCCCAGGAGACATCATACAAACCCAGCCTAGGGGCTTTCTAAAAAACGACTGCTCAACAATCTTCAAAACTGTTCAGGTCATGTCTCAGAAACTGTTTCAGACTGAAGGAGATTGAAGACACAGTAGCGAATGCGCCGTGTGGATCTGAACCAGACCCTTCGGCTCTCATGGACCCCACTGCAACAACTGGAGGAACTTGAGGGGTCTGAGGAGCATGTGGCAGCAACGTACCTCTTGGATGTTAGTGTCCTGCTAGGATGGTGTGCTGTGATTTCGGAGGAGAGTGACCTTGTCAGGAGGAAACACGCACTAAAGCACAAGGTAGAGGTGGGGCATCAGGTTGACAACTCACTGGAAGATAGCTCAGGGGAAAACATTCTTTGTGCTGTAGTTGCATGTTTTCTGTGAGCTCGAGAATGTTCAAAAGAAAAGTTCAGTGCTATGTCAGTCAGCCTTTTCTTCCAGGGTCCCCACCTTGCCCCATCTAGTCTGTGGAGGGATGTGCCTGCAGCCCCGCCTGGCTGGTCCCGCCCCTGTGGTCCCCAGGGCAGGAGCCTGGGGCAGGCAGCAGACACGCATGAGGCCCTTTCTGTCACATTCTGGGAGTGGGAGAGTGTTTTATATTCGCAGCCAGGCCCTCACTGAGACAGTTTGGGATCAAAGATTACACAACCTAACAGGGAGCCTTGCTTCCTGGAACTCTGGGTGGGTAGCACATGACAAGAGAAACTGAACGATTCTTTTTCCTTTTTAAAACTCTTTTGCTTTCTTGGTTTTCTCACCTCAGCTCTTTGGCAGCAGGGAAATGGGAGGAGCTTGTTTCCAAGTATAAGGCAGCCAGAGGGCCCTCCTCCTCCCCACCACCACCCCCAGTTTATCAGGAGGGCCTGATTGTTGAGGCCTGGGTATGCTGGGGAGGAGGGCCCAGAGAGGCTCTGCTGTGAGCATTCAGAGCCCGGGGATCCCTACTCCTGGTCTCATCTCACACGAGCCCTGCAGGAGCGTTGGCGGAACACGCTTGGAACTCTTAGCACCCCATCATCCACCTCTCGATATGGGATGTCCTTTTCCACTGACCTTGTCAGACGTCTCCATGTGCTTGCTTGTATAATTCCTGGGATGAGTGGGTCATTACTCTGCAAGGTAGCTGGTTCCAGATGCTCGGCTTGTTATAAAGTTATGCAGGCAGGCCCCTGAAACATCACCCTGAGGTCCCTGGCACTGGCCTCTGAACAGTCATTTAAGAGGCTAGGAAATGTTTGAAACGCGCCTTCCTGTCCCTCTCTGATTGTCTCTTCTCCATGTTCCTTCCCCTTTTCCTCCCAACTTTTCCTCTAAGATATGATTACTGTACTTTTTTTTAATCTTCTGGAAAATCACCTTGGAATAGATTTTTGCTTGTCACGATCCTCACCATGGTGCAGCTCTGAGAACAAAACGTGTTCTCAGGAGCCTGCCGGGGGCAGGGGCCGGTGTCTCCGGTGGTCAGACTGGACAGTCCTTTCAGAAAGCCACTTCTTTGTAGCCACCATGCCTCACTGGTTGCCAGTATTGAGCTTATGGCCATCAAATACCCAGGTCCCCTTGTCTACTCCCAGCTCTCCCCGGCCAGGTGAGAACCATCATTGTGACCACCTGCAGTGCACTCACCGACAGCCCTGGTGGGGTCTATGGATCTCATCCTCCCAGCATACAATGTCTCCTGCTGGCACTGTCCCTGAGGCCTCTACCAGCCAGTAGGACAGCAAGTGGGGGTGGTTTCAGCCAGAAGAACAATGCTGGGTTAATGTTCACAAATGGCCCACCCTCAGGGAAAGGTCCGAGTACTAACACATCTACCCTCAGGGCGCAGGCTTTTCCTGCCAGTTTCCCTACAGGAGGAATCATCTTGACAATAAAGCCCAGAGGCAGAAAAATCAGAAGAGTGCTCTGAAAGGTACATTTTCAAGTTGGTTTTTTTTTTTTCTCCTAAAGCTGTTGGATGTCTGAGTTATATAAAACTAGCTCTGGCCACCCCACCCATGTCAGCCCAAACAACAAAACTTCTGGCCCAACATGGAACCACCCCCACCCCCTACCCTGCACAGATGTTTCCTTTTAGCTCCACTGGCCCTGTGTCAACAGAAAATGTGGCCCGCCTATGGAGCAGAGAGAACTTTCCACACTCTCTTCAAAGGTACGAACATCCAGGGTGCGCATCTCCAAGAATATTGTGAGGGCAGTCTCGGCCCTTAGTCAAAACCAAAGACACATGAACGGCCTGTAACCAAGGCCTCCATGACCCTCATTTGTTCCTTGTCAAACCACGTTGGCCTGATGCTGTCGTTCATTCAAAAAAAATTGGCTCTGCCCGTGCGTGCCAGGCCCTGGGGCACACAATACTGGGGGAGGCAGTACACCACCTAGCCAAGTTCTTGGCTCCACGGGGCCCACATTCCCTGTTGTTTTTTTGTCCCTAAAGGTCAGCAGTGTCCTAGTGGGAAGAGAACTGGGAGTCCTAGATTCCAAATCGAGCTCAGACACCCAGTGCTGTCTTTTGGGGCAAGTTATTCAAGACCCAGATTCCTGCTCCATAAAATGGGGCAGTAATCACTACTCTGCCTACATAATGGGATTCTTGCAAGGAGCACGTGGAGCTGCCCTGTGAGGCAGCTGGGCCCCCGGCCCCCCGGCCCCCTCGGGGCTCCAGGGCCTCTGCCCACCCCTTTATTCCTTCCGCTCCAGGGGTGAGACAGTAAATGACCTGACCTCTAAATCTGGGAAAAACAAACTGGGCACTCACAGCCCAGTTCTGCACTTATCTGATGTCTTCAGTTACAATTGCTTACACAGGAAGAGAAAATCTGAATAGTTCTGTGGAATACTACAGATTTACATCTGCCACACTGACACCTGTCCCCTCACCCCCACAAATGGCCTTAAAAATCAACAAATATAAACCCAGTTGTGTATTTAGGGAAACTGAAGTTCCCAAATTATCACCCTAGCCTTGCGCAACCTCACCGGAAGTTTTGCTGGTCTCTTTTTCCCCTGTAGAACCCCTCTCTGTGCACCAAGTCTGCAAATGCCCCAGGGAAGGAAACGGCCAGTGACAGACTTCTCCCTTCTAAAGATCTCTCCCTTCTCTGGAATTTTTCAGAGAACAAGCTTTTGGTTTCATTGATTTTCTCCACTGATTTCCTGTTTTCAACTTCATTGATATCTATATCACTCTAATTTTTATTATTTCTTTTCCTCTGCTAAATTTGGATTTTTTTCTAGTTTCCTAAGGTGGAAACTTAGATAATTGATTTCAAATCTTTCTTCTTATATATGTACTCAACATTATAAATTTCCTTCTAAGCACTGCTTTTGCTACGTCCCACAATTTTGGTAAGTTGTGTTTTCATTTTAATTCAAAATACTTAATTTCACTTGAGACTTCTTTGACTCAGGTGTTATTTAGAAGTGTGTTGTTTAATCTGCATGCATCTTGGGACTTTCCTGCTATCTTTCTGTAATTGATTTCTAGTTTAATTCTGTTGTGGTCTGATGGCAGATCACTGTGACTTCTGCTGAATTTGCTGAGGTGTGTTTTATGGCCCAGAATCTGGTCTCTCTTGGTGAATGTTCCATGTGAGCTTGAGAAGGATGTGTGTTCAGCTGTTGATGGATGAAGCAGTCTCTAGATGCCCATTATATCCAGTTGATCAATGGTGTTGGTGACTTGAGCCCTGTCCTTACCAACTTTCTGCCTGCTCCATCTGTCCTTTTCTGGGAGGGGAGCTGCGGTCTCCAGTTACGATAGTGGATTCATGTAGTTCTTGTAGTTCTGTCAGTTTTGACCTCATGTATTTTAACGCTCTGTTGTTAGGCATGTACACATTACAGATTTGTATGTCTTCCTGGATAACTGACCCCTTTTTTCATCATGTAATGCTCCTCTTTATTCTTGATAGCTTACCTTGCTCTGAAGTCCCCTCTGTCTGAAATTAATGTATCTACTCCAGCCTTCTTCTTGATGAATGGTAATCATGGTTTTATCCTTCTTCCTCCATTTACTTTTAATCTGTGTCTCATATTTAGAGTGAGTTTCATACAGCTGCATTAATTTCTTTTTATTTGCCTGTTGGTCTCTCTGATTTGGGGAGCACTGCTTGCCCTGTGGCCTCACTTCTCTTACAGATCTGAGAAGTGCTGTGGCTTTTCCAGTTTGTTCAGTTCTAGTGCCTCCTCCTCATTTACTTCAGGGGCTCACCAGATCTGAACTTCAGGGGCCATCCTAGCGGTGAAATAGGACCACTTCGGACCTCCCTGCCAGGACATGAAACCTCCTTTCCAGCCACGGTCCTGGTGCAACACCCTCAGATCCACTCCCACTTCTATTTCCTTGGTACCTGCCAAGTCAGGTCTTGCAGTTATTCTGATAAGTACTCTTTCTTCCTGTGGCAGGGGCTGAGTTCCCTGCTCAGGCTGGGCTGTAATTAGACCCCAGTCATGGGTCTGGAGCCAGTGAGGGGAGGTGGGGCAAAGGTCGAGGAGCACTATCTCACGAGACATCTGCCTCAGGGACGTCCTTGCATGGGAAGTGGCACAGCGTTTCTTTCAGGAGATGGCTGTCCTCTAGCTAGGGGTGGGGGCTTCGTCTGCCCTCCCAGAGCGTTCAGGGGAATAGGAGGGACTGAGTCCCTTTCTTTCCTGAGGGAAGCCCTGACTTTGGCAAAGGAAACCTGCCAAGGCTGCACCTTCCTTTGCAGCTCTGCCGTTCTCGCACAAGCACTGGTGCTGGGGTGAACTTCTTTATGCTTCATGTTTTTATTCCTCTTTGGTTACACTCCCAGAAGTGGAATTATTAGGTCAAAGGGCATGAAATTAAGACTTTTAATACACACTGCCAGATTATTTCCAAAAGGTTTTGAAGAGCATAGATATGCACTTGACTGGCAGTTATAAGTGAGCCTTTACTGAACAAAAACAAATTATTGTCAATATTCTGAATTTGCAGGCTTGAATTCACACAATTTGGGAGACCAAGAAATCCCAGAAACAATAAAACCAACTCGAATATTCTATAATGCTGCAGTCCTTCCGTGCCCGCCCTTACCCACCCAACCCCCAAGCCCTTAATTGCCTTTTGGCTGCCTTCAGCGCTTCTCCCTGGTATTTACTCAGCGGCCACTAAAGACAGCTCTGGTTCTGCTGGATGAAGCAGTGGGTTTCCCCATGGCAGTATTTTTCCACGTCTCTGCCTTCAGTTTTCTTGTCCCTTATTCTGGGAGGTGCAATAGTCACACATTTCCCATTAACGCTTCTCCTGGAGAGACTGTGCTCATTCGGTACTTTGTTTAGTGTGTGAGGTACACTTCTCCAGGTAGGGCGGCCTACAGGAAAGGTGTGGGCTGACAGACAGATGCTAGCATCTACCTCTCCCTTTCCTTTGCACTGTAACTGCTTAGCCAGCCAGCCCAGCTGGGTGGCTGTTGTACAGCTGGCCTGGCAAAGCCTCATCTGTCTGTCTGTCTCAACTATCTGATGTCTTTAATCATCAAAACCAAAGGTTTCTAAACTTTATTCCCACTCCAGTTGCATCTGTGCACCCCTACTGTCAACGTTCCAGTATGCGCAGTCAACCAGGGGCAGGGGGAGGAACGGGCTGACCGCTGCCTCGCTGGGAGCACTGTCATGGCGCCTGTAAGGACAATCACTGGAAAAAATGAAAAATGAAGACCCAAGCTATTCTCTCAACAGGGCAACAGTTCCAAGTCCAAGTCTAGGCAGCTGCTTCTCTCCATAGGAGAGGAGGTGCCCTGGCCATGCCGGGAGGAGGTGCCCACGCCAAGACCTCTGGAACTGGTCTGAAAGGGCTTCAGCTCACATTATGTTCTTTCCATTAGGCAGGAAATTCCTAACTCCTTACCCTGTTTGTCTAACTGAAATGCAGAGAGTAAATGCCATGGCTGAAATACCCTCCTTCATGAATCAATTCCTTCCCCAGGGCTCTCTTTAAGATTGATTGGGGAATTTCAGTTCCCCAGGGGAAAAAAAAAACACAAAGACTGCTCACCCATAAGTGGACTTAATTCGAACACACTGCACTGTGAATAGAACACAGGCTTATAGGACGAGCTTTCTGGCGCCACTAAGAATGGCCTCTCCTTCTGTCCCCGGAGTGTGAAGGGAGGCTGAGTAATCAAATGACAACATCTCTAAAGCAGCTTTCTTAATGCTCATAAACATAGAAATCTTACAAAACACCAGGGAGTGGTTATAAAACACAAAGCAATTTCAAAACAAGAGTAATAAGAAAGGTTGGCTAAGGACCAAAGTAGATGTTAAGTGCCTAGGGAGGTGGGCCGGGATCTCTTGGAGGGCAGGAAGAACTGGGCTCCCCCAGACTGGAGAAGGCTCACCAGCCAGGCGGAAGCCCTGGGTCTGCGTCTGGGGCAGAGTGCCTCCTCAATCTCCCCAACCCAGAAGCCCACAAGGTGGATTTTTTTTAATATAGTTATTATTTTGAAAGCTCAATAGGGGGAAAAAGTTGACAATATACATATCATAAGCATTTCCTTTGAACCATTTTTCTGCTAGGTCCTTATTCTAGTGTGTCTGCTATCTGAACTTCTGCAGCAGGAGATAAACCAGTCTCCCTTGGGAGGCCCATTACCAGAGCCCTCTCGTCAGAGCAGACCTCTGGACTCAGCTGTCACTAGACAATGGTCAGACTTTCTGAGGGGTCACCGAATGGCATCTTGGCTTACAGTTGAGGAACTCTAGCGATACCAAACCAGACCAGAAAATAGACTTTAATTGTGCTTGTATAAATGTTGTCTTAAACTCATAATAGTTAAGGAAAATATATACAAACTTCAGCTTAAAGGAAAAGTAGAAAACAAACACTCTGCAGTTGGTGTCTGACTGCACATCAGCCCAGGAATCCGACTTTCTGTCTCTTGGGCCCCAGGCTCTCCTCCTTGTGTAGCAGGCTCTGCAGGGACGCGTGCAGCACCTTGCCCACGCGCTTGCCGGTCTGCAGGACAGAGAAGGGACAGAAGAGGGCCAGGCCCGCTTGTGAGGCAGACACATGCTGACCAAGAGAGGCTCCCCTTCCTGCCAGCTAGCCATTCTAAAGCGGCACACGTCCCATCTGCCTTATAGGTCTTTTATCTCATTAAACAAACAATACAGAAACAAACCCCAAACCCTGACAACATAATAGTTACATTCTGGAAGACCCTCCATTCCAAAAAAAAAAAAAAGATGCCAACCCTCAGGCAGCAAGCAGGAAGCGGCAAAGTCCACCTCGGTCATTAGCTGCTGCCACTAAGAGCAGCTGAACTGTCAACCAGTTGGACTTGCTGACAGCTGAGTCTCACTGTACTGCAGTGAGGAGACCCAGGGAGACCAGAGAATCCCATCTGATGAAGGAACAGGTGGTGCTGAGGACCTGTGTTAACAAGCAGTTTTTGATTTACCTGCCACCAAAGATCTGCTCAGATGGGACCAAAGTCAATACCTGGATAGGGTCTTTGATGTCACTACCATGCAGAGATGTTAAAGGCAAGAATGTTGGAATCAAGACACATCAAGAGGTTGGACAACCCAGAGATTTCCTAGTTAGCCCCTACACAGCATAACAGGAGGGGGCCCTCACAAACAAAAAACCCTACAAAACAAAAATCTTTCTTTATGCAACTGTTATTCTGTCTCTCGGCTCATGAACATTTTAAGAACACAGTGAACCAATTACAAGTCTCCATCTCATCAAGTCTTTCACGTTCCCATAGCAGTTTTAAGTTCACCTGTGCCTCTGGTTCCATCCCGACAACATCAGGGGGAAACACACCCAGGCCTCACCCTCACCCCAGTCCTCCTTGTCACAGGTGTCGCCTCCCCAGGGCTCTGTGCCTTCTCCCCTGGCCCCTGACTATAACACGGGATGAGACTTCAAGTATTACTGAAAACTCATATAAAGAGAAGATCTCAGTCTAAAGGCGGGGAAGTGAGCAAATCTGTGAAATGCAAAGTCAGGGTTAAGGTCCAGAGTGACTTTGGAAAGATTTTTATCCTAACATCAAAAAAAAATGTCCAAGTTGATCAAATAGGGGTACTGCTTATTCATATACATGAAGGCGGGGAGAGGAGACAGAGAGGACACCAGAACTTGAGAGGTCTGAACCTGGACCTGCAGGAAAGAGACCGCAGAGGTTAGGGGCGGAGCCGCAGGACAACCTGAGGTTCTCAGCTTTACCATGAGCAGCATCTCTGGGTTGCTGCATCCTCGTACGAGAGAAATGGGGAGACAGGGCCAGAGGCTGTGGTCCCCCTGCAGACCTCACTCCCCGAGCCCCAGGGAGGAGGAAGCTCAGCTCCCTGGACAGTGCTCTGGTTCTCCCTCCATCCACAGCAGCCAGAGCCCACCTGGGTCATGAGGTTATTAAAATAGCTCATGGCTCAGGGGGACTCTGGGGGCACAGTCTGGGTTTGAATCCTAGCACCAGCATTTAAGAGCTGTGAGGCCTGCAGGCAAGTTACTGATCGTCTACATGCCTCAATTTTCCTCATCTATAAAAATAAGGGTAATACCAGTTGTTACCTCACAGGTTTGTTGAGGAATAAATGATGTGATACATTTAAAGCACTAGAAACAGGGTGGGACGTGAAGTAAGCACACAACGAATGTGAGCTGTTATTTATTGTTTTTGTTGTTGTTTAGAGCCTGGAATTCTCATCAGACTCTCCTGAGGGGGATGAGGGGGGAGTTCCCTCTAAAACAAGATTTGGGAGGCACTCGTCTAGAGAGGCCTTTGGTAGAACTTGTAAAGCATTTTAAGAGCTTTAGTTTCAGAACACCTGATGCCATGCACAGCTGGAGACACTGGAACTCGGGGTGCTTAATGCAGATCCAGACAGAGTGAGAGTTGACAGTGCAAACTGCGATGTGTCAGTGCTTCCCCACTACATGGCCTGCCTACCCCTCATGACACGGCAGCAGCAGACACTACTGCTGTTGTTAGCCCCTCTCTGCAGATGAGGGAGCTGGGGCCCAGGCCACATTCGCAGCCTGGGCAATCTGGCTTCAGAGCTCACGCTTGCGTCCTCAACACTGTATACATGGCCCATTTTTGCTCTCAAATAAGATGACAAAAAAAAAGACATCAAGCACGTAGAGTCTTCAATGAGAATCACTGTTTCTGGGAATGAAGGAAGAGTGTAGACGGCAACCTTCGTGCTGTTAAGCAGTGACCTCTGGGCACGTGTTGTGACACAGAGATGACTTACAACAAAACCTCCCAGGGCTGGTCAGTCTATTCCTGGCAAGTCAGTCAGTTAATCAGTCTCAAAGTCCTCAAAAGCTTCTGGAGAGTTGAAGTGGACACGACGGAAGGAAGGTCTGGGAAGACATGAGTGAGTGCGACCTGGTCCCTGCTGCAGAGGGGTTTTCAGGCCAGTGAGGTAGACACACGGATCAGTCAGTAACCAGTTGGTACGGAGCAGCTGGAAAGTGCCCTAATGGTGCTGCCAGACGGGCTGAGGAGCCCTGAGAGGAACGTGCACCCGAGACAGTCAGGAGGATTTCCCACCGTTCCTATTCGCCTCCCTTTAAACACTTCTGGACCCACAAGAATGGGGAGATGGCCATCCTTCAGCCCCTGGCTCTACCTCTGCTCACTCCCTTCAAGGGACAGGAAGCAGACAGCCAGGAATTCAGCTCCCTCATCAAATCACAAAGGCTTGAAATTTTGGAGTTATAAGTGACTCTTTACATTATCAGTCCAACATTCTCATTTAGAAACGTGGACCTGGGGATCAGAGAGGGAGAGGATAAGCGAATATTACGGGCAGGTCACTACCTCCCAGCCCACAGCCCCCACCGCCACCGCCAGTACCCTTGGCTTGCTCAGTGACATCCAGCTCACACCAGCTGTTCCCCACACTCCTAGCCTGGGGTGAAGTGGGTAAATGGGGAGAATTCCCGCAGTGTGACCAAGAGGGCAGGAAGCAGCAAGCACTCCCAGCCAGGTCCTGGCCTCGGAACCAGAGTCTCACCTCCATCATCTCGAAGATGCTCTCTGGGTCCAGGCTGCCCTTCCCTACTTTCCTCATGCATGTCACGACTCCTTTGCTGGTCACGGACACCAGCAAGCTGGCCAAAGAGCAGGCCTCCTCCTGAAGAGTAGCATCTACCACGTGCCGATAGCCAATCTGCAGGGACAGGGCAGCAGTGCACACATGTGGGTGACACACGTCCCAGACCCCCCACCCCTGAGAGCCTCATGAAGGGAATATCAGCACCAGCAAGGAACCTGCACGGCCCATTCTGAATCTTATTTTAGATTCTGCTCATATGGAAAATATCTGAAGCAATGTTCAATCATTCTGTCACAGGCCACTGTGTAAGCAGTGCAATGGAAGCATGAAATGGAAATATAGGCGTAGGGGGAAGGTGGTTAGAATTATAATTCAGAGACCAAGTCAGAGGCCCCCTGGATGTTTCACTGAAGACAAAGATGGATCAAGAGGGCCCATGCTGAGGGACGTGCTCAAGGATGAGTCAAGGGCAGGCACCTCTGGTCATCCCAAAGCTTCACTATACTCCATGCTCATGAAGTGATTCTGGTGGAATTAAACCTGACCCGCTCTGTCCGATTTTTATATAATGAAACCTTCGTGTAATCAGTGACAGTCTCAGCCAAAACAGGCCCTCTGCACAGTCCTGGGCGGGGCAGCCACACGTCAGCATCAGCTGGGTGTTTGGCTCCACAGGCCTCGGTGCTAATGTGAAACCTCATGACGCATCAGAGACCCAGGCCCTGCTCCAACCCCCTCATTTCATAGATGTGCACATTAGGGCCCACAGAGGGGATAGCGTTCGCCTTTCAACCACCCTTTTACCACTCAGCCAGCCTAGACACCATAGAGTTGAGAGTACTGAAGCTAATATGCATTCAGGATGTTTCACTGTAATGCCTGGCAGGCAGGAGGAGCTTAACCAACTTTGGCTACTATTACTGTGAAGCTGCTCATGTGCCCCTGGGACTCCGTATCTTCCAGTTAAAAAGAAAAGAAAGAGCTGCTCATGGTAGTGGTCTCTATATTAGAAAATTACTGAGTTTGGGTTAATACTGCTTCAGTATGGGTCATGAAACTATAACTTCCCAACCTATTAAGTAACCTTGGGGTTGAAGAAGACCCACAGGGAAGACAAAAACCATGAGATATAAGCTCATACCTTACACAGGGTGACGATACAAGGGACATTCTCTACGCTGAGCCGGATGCAGTCATAAGGGTCATCAGACAGTTCAATGTCCTTCGACCCCTCTTCATCCTCCAGAACACGAACTTTTGGTATCCTAGAAGCAGAAGCATAATTAAAATCCCCATTTACTGAAAAGAAGGATGACAACTTCTTTTTCTTGAGTTGCAATCCCTGTGTCCCACCAGGCATGCTTGTCCTCCCTATGATCCCTGCCAAAAATGTACAGGTGACACTGAGTGCAGTGGGGAAAGGAGGCCTTTTAAAAAATGATGCAGAGGAGAAGGCTAGACAGGGCTAGGGGATTAAGAGTCACAAACTAGTACGTATGAAATACATAAGCTGCAAGGATATATTGTACAGCGCAGAGAATATACCCAGTATTTTATAATAACTTTAAATGGAGTATAATATATAAACATACTGAAATCACTATGTTGTACACCTGAAACTAATGTAATATTTAAATGAATAAAACCTCAGTAAAAATACATTTTAAAAATAAAATTAAAAATCATGCTTAATTAGCCAGATATCTAAAAATGAATCCCAATCCCTACTTCACACTATACACAAAAATCCATACTAAATGGACTGAACATGTGAAGGTGAAAGATAAAAAAATAAAGCTTTTAGAAGAAAAACTAAGAACATCTTCATGATCTGAGTAGACAAAGATTTATTGGACATAAAATGCTTATCATAAAGGGGAAAAATAACAGATTCAATTATATTATAATTGAATACACACACACACACACACACACACGCGCGCACGCACATCTTGGAGATACTGCAGGTTTGGTTCCAGACTGCTGTAATAAAGCAAGTCACATGAATTTCTGGTTTCCCAGTGCATATAAAAGTTATGTTTACACTATAGCGTAGTCTACTAAGTGTGCAATAGCATGTCTAAAAAACCCAATGTGCATACCTCAATTGAAAAAGACTCTATTACTAAAAATGCTAACCATCATCTGAGCCTTCTTGCGAGTCGTAATCTTTTTGCAATATTAACATCAAAGATCACTGATCACATGTCACTATAACAAATAAAGGAATAATGAAAAATATTGCAAGAATTATCAAAATGTGACTCAGAGACATGCAGTGAGAAAATGCTGTCAGAAAAATGGCACTGATAGACTAGCTCTATGCTGTGTTGCCACAAATCTTCAATTTGTCAAAAAACACAGTATCTGCTAAGCACAATCAAGTGAAGTGCAGTAAAACAAGGTCTGCCTCTGTGTGTGTGTCTAACATAATATGTATTAAGATTATGAACTTCTGTTTGTCAAAAGGCATTTGGAAACCAAAAAATAATTCAGAGTAGAGAAAATATTTCTATGAGTGTGTGTGTGTATAAACCGACATACTACATAAAGAATTCCTACCAAACAAAGACAGATGACCCAACAGAAAAATGGACAAAAGACTTAAACAGGAGCTTTGCAGAAGAGGCTATTCACATAGCCAGTAAACATACAGAAAAGTACGCAACTTAAATGTCCATCAGGGAAGTGCAAAGTAAAACTACAATATGATACCAGGACATACCCATCAGAATGGCTAGTATTAAAAAGACAAAAAAATCCAAAGGTTGGCAAAGAAGTGGAGCAACCCAGACTCTATACATTGCTGGTGGGAGTACCATTTGGTCAAAGCACTTTGGAAAACTGTTTTGCAGAATCGACTGACATTATTTGCAAAAGCTCAAAACTGGAAACTACCCAGCTGTCCATCAACAGAAGAATGGATAAATGAACTGTGACATATTCATACAGTGGAACACGATTCAGCAAAAAGCAAACTATGACTCCTGGCCACAACACAGATGCCACAAAACCTAATGCTCAGCGAACAAGGCAGACATGAGAGAGAAAGCACTGCGTGATTCCATTTATGTCAAGCACAAACCAAGGGCTGTGGTTATCCTCAGTGGGTGCAGTGACTGCATGGGGGTACAGGGTGAGAGGGCTTCTGGGGAACTGGCAATGTTCTGTTTCTTGAGCTGGGTGCTGGAAATATACTTAAGCCATAAAGTCTATTCACTCCACTGTGGGGTGGAGGAGCAAGGAAGGAAGAGGTGGTCCACCCAGCTACTGTAATACAAACAGTGTTGGTGCATTTCCCTGTGCCTCTAACAAAAGCTGGCTATGATTCACCCCTGCTGGCCGTCCCTACACAAGCCAATGTCAGTGCAGAGGAGTTTCAGCCAGAGAATGTCCACAAGAACCAAGGAGTCCTGCTAGGGTCTGCCCCAGGTGACGTCTCCATGTCAGGGGTCCCCTGGGTCTAAGTACTAAGTAATATCCTATTTGAACAAGTCAGGTAACCAGTTTGAATTGTGGTATGGTAAAAAATAAGCACCTGTGTGCATGCGCGTGCACACACACACACTCCTTCCTACCCCTCTGGCTACATCGTGGTTCAGTAGAAGGGCTAGCAAATGCTGTCTAGAGAATGGCCTTAACCTTTCCAGAGGGCCCTGACTGTACAGAAGGTCTCTCCACACACCAGGGGGTCCCAGTGCCTTGCGGGGTCTCCATTTCTTGCTGCCTGCAGGGCTGTTCTTGCTCTGGGCACGAGACTGATGGCTGTGCACATGACAGGTGTCCTCCCCAACCCGAGCAGCTGGGTGTGACTATCCTAGTGTACAGTTTGCCCAACACCTCCCCTATAGCCAAAAGCCTCATCTGGCTCTACTCTTTCTTTTTGCCCTGGTGCCCATGGAAACCAGCTAGCAGATGGGGAGTAAGTTCTGAGGCTTGAGGGACAACAGATGGCAACTTCCTTTCTTCTCCAGCAGAGCCCAAGCCCAGGCTGCTGCTACAGGCATCTGGTACTCGAGCCCTCACAGTGGCCACGGTGCCAGGCATACCCTCGACTAGTCTCAGCCAGGGGTCTAGTGGCACAGCTAAGGGTGGGACTCTTCAGCTTTCTTTCTCAACAAATATTCCATCCTGCAATTTCTGATCTACCTTTATTTAATTCTGTTTTTGTTTTAAATTATGCAGGTAGTCTAAATTCACCAGCAAAAAACTCTTAAGATGCAGATAAATTTTAAATCGCCCATAATATGAGCACTGGAAAATAATCACAATGACCATTTGGGGACAGGCATACGTACAGACATAGTCATATGCTGCTGTGTAGATTTCAGTCCCCTATGTTGGGACATTCATGTTGTTTTCAACTTCTCACCATTACAAAGAAGCTGTGATGAGCATCTTCGAATAACATCTTTGCTCACTTACCCAGTTACTCCTCTAGGCTATATCCCTAGGAGTTTCTAATCCTTATTTTCAAATACCCCAGGATCCCCCATTACCATAATGTAAGTTCTCTCACAGACTGAACACTCCCCTCCACAGACTTATTTTCAAATGCTGCGAACTTTCCCCCAAAGAGCCTTGTGCATAGAGAGGAAAAGAGCTGTATCATCAAACGGTCAGAGGAAACGTCAACTGCAGAGCAGCTAAGGGCCATGTCCCGAGCTCCACAGCTGTGTGTGCGAGGCTGAACCACCACCATTTCCTGCTCCTAACTCACCGAACAGCAGGCTGCTACCTGCTTCTAGAACATTCACGTGTCCAACCAAGGAATACGTGAGCACCTACTACTGGTATACGAGTCCGACTTGCATACAGTTCCCGACGAGGAATACGTCAGGCTGTGTTCACGGCGCTGGGAGACACCAGAGTGCAAAGCAGGCAAAGCCCCTGCCCCCGTGGAGCTTCTTCTAGCAACAGTATTTAGACAGTGGATCTTGTACTGTTTCTACTCTTTTTGCTGCTCTGTAGTTCTCTAATATTTTTCTACATGGTACATGTTTACTTATGAAAATAATAATACAAAAAATAAACACAGAAATATACGCATCTATTTAGTTATAACTTATAAAATCTGTTTTCTGGAGCTTAACATTAAATAGCACCATTCTCAATGCTGAAGCCCCCTGTTCTCGTCTACGAGCTTCTGTGGAAATGCCCTCAGTGTTGTGTTCCATCACAAGTGTCTGCTCAGGTTCTCCGCGGTCTCATGGGGCTGTTTCCAGAAGGACCTACCTTGTATTGAAGAGGGCAGCCTTCACCGCAATGGAGATGGCATCAAACAAATTTCCACCACATTCCAGCAGCTAAGGGAGAGGGGGAGTGAGGGAGGAAGAAAGAGCAAGCGTCATTTCTTACTTTAATTATTATCCCAATGAAAGGACACCAGTTCCTAAGAAATGCTGATCAAGTGTTTATAAAAATAAAGACAAGAACTCGTGGCTGCTCACGGGCCCACTGACACACACGGTGTCATCACTCTAACTGCAGGCACTGCCTCGCCAGGGCTGTGCTTACAGGGGCCATGTGTGCGAGGTCACAGTTGCCCTGATGTGGTACCATTGCTCAGAAGCCTCAGCCTGCAGTGAAGCCCCTCAGCCAGTTGGGCCTGTGCTGCAGGGGGAGCTGATCACCCGTATTTTGCCCCAGATAACCCCCAGCTGCACTGCAAGTGTTACTCTCATCTTTGTGACATATGCTTGGCCTCCAGACAAGCACTGATGCCGCGGGTCATGTTGCTCAGTGTCGTTACTACTGCATGTGGTTACCAGTACACCTCTGATGCTCAAACTCCATGTACTACATTAAGCATAATAAAAACTAAGGTCTGTCACACGTTTTCACCCATGAGCAAAAGTGTTGACTGCATTTATGTGTGCTCATCCAGCAGGGGAGGTCAGAGTCATTATTAAGTGGAAGGCAACACGTCCTTCTTCCTTATTTTAAAGAAGCCTTGGCCTGAGGTTATGGAATAAAGCCAGCAGGAAAAGAGGAGAGGAAGTCACATGGAGAAGGAATAGTCATATGTTTCTTTGTGTGTTTGTTTAGAGTCTGTCTCCTCTTCATCTGAACTGTAAACTCCTGAGGCTGGACCCTGTTGGCTTTGCTCGTTCCTGTATCTTCTGAGCCCAGTAGAAGGGCTGCCGGGAAGGAGGAGCCTGGTGATTATTTCTGGAAGAAAGGCAGACCCTAAGCCTTGGCCTTCCATACTAAGAATCAACAACCATACCTGGCACGTCTCACTCACGCACCTCATTCACATGGTACAAACTCAGTTCCCACCTTTAAGCTTTCCAGGCAAACTTCCAGTGCAGACGCCGTCTTTCCTACAGCCTTCTATAGTCACTGCTTATTAGAATGCAATCCTACTGGCCTTGTAACAGCAGCATGTTTGTCTAGCAGCTGGACTAGCTCTCCTGTCCCCTGGTTCAGATACAGGCTGCCACATGGCACTGAGCTCTAGCTGGACTCCTGACTGGACCGTCTGGTTTGATTCCTGTCTGCGCTGGTTAACTGCATGACCCTGGGTGGTACCTAACCTCGTAAGCATTAACCACATGTTTATAAATAAATATTCATCTCCTCTTTCATTTTCCCACTGTTGTCCTCGCAGACTGTCAGTGTGGGACTGCCCGTCCTGCATCTTCACTGCTGACAGCCCAGGTCCCTAACCCTGGCTGTGCATCCGAGTTGCCCGGGAAGCTAATCAAACATGCAGGGGGAGGCCCTGGAAACTGCAGTTTACTCCAGGCCAGCAGTGGTCCTGATGGCCAGCCAGGGCTGAAGACCGCTGTTTTACACCCTGCTGCCCACAGCATCTGCCTCATGCAGAGAAAGTGCTAGATAAATGCTGGTGTCTGCTCTAGCAGCTGTGAAGCCTCTGAGCTGCAGAGGACCCGGAGACCACCTCGGCCAACCCTTCCCTGACAGTTGGGGATACCGAAGCCCCCCACTTACAACAAAGCGGCCTGACTCCCAGTCAGTGTTCTTTCTACTGTCCTGCACCACGTCCTGTGCACAAACTTTGATTTTCAACACTCTAGCTGATCACCAGGAGATGAAATCGACAGGGCAGAATGCTGAGCCCCGAGTAACTGCTGAGGGGGCCCCCCTGAAGGGCAGACACTGATCAGCCTGCCCGCCTCCGCAGGGTGCAAGAGCACGCCCACTGCAGTCCTCGCCCGCCTGCCCCAGCTCCTCATGGGGCACCACACGATGGGGAACCCAGGCCGAGCAGCAGGGGTCTGACAGTCTTCTCTGCTAGTTGCTGGCTATGTGTCCTCTGAGCTTCGGTTTCCCTCTCAGTGAAACAAAGCCATACTTTCCTACAGGGTGGCTGTGAGAACTAAATGACCCCACACCCTTACCATCCCCAGCACATAAGCGGTGCTCACAGACCTCCTCTCCGCTGCCAAGCAGGCCCAGCCTAGCAAGAATCTTCTGCTAAACACAGTGGCACAGCTGACAAGCAGGGGGAGAGTTGAGGGGGTGATGCAGAGACCCACAGCGGCCTGACTGGGCTGTCTGAACAAGCCCAGGCGAGCTGAGAGGAGAGCAGAGGGTGTGGGGCATCTAGTGTTACAGAGAGACTGGACTGTGATCCCACAGCAGGTCGTAGGTGTCCACCCTCAGCAGGGAAAAGATCGCTCCTGTAACAGAGGTGGGGAAGGAGCAGAGCAGGAGAAGGGGAAGGAAGACACATTTGGTCACAAACGCACCTCCCCATGCTGTCTGTACGACAGAGTCCTAACAGTTATCCCACTTTGGGATAAAAACAATGCCAATAAAGAACTATGAAGAGCAAAGAAGAGTGAAGTTTCTATGAAGTGAAATTTCTACTTTAATAACACAACTGGGTAGAAAAACAGTACTGGAAATTGGCTCACCTGAATGTACTAGGTTCAAGTACTTGTGTCTGCAGTAAAGTGAAAACATGGAAGGCTGCCCAGGGAAGACCTGTTTGAAAGACGGGCTCTGCCTGAGGACTCTTCAGACCAGTTGGTAAAAAGAAATCACAGGAGATTCAATTTTCACAATCCCAGTGACAAGACTGGATTTCCACCATCTTACTCCAAACATGGACTCGGTGTATTCAGTACATTTTTAGATGTAGGACAAAAACTTAGTCTCCAAACAAAAGCCTATCCCCCATCTCACATGCATGAAGCACATTCCCATCAAGGCTGAAAGCAAACATTTGCTCTCATGGAAAGAACCACCGCTCCACAGGTATGAATTATGTGATTGACAAAGAGTCATCTACCTCGTTAATAACATAATTTTTAAAATGCTTTCCTAATTCATAAAAACTTGTCTGAGGATGACATTTCAAAAGCTCGTATCTTCTTCCAAAATAAATAAAATATTTAAAACAATTTTTAAGGAAGAAATCCTAATGTAAAAAGTCTTAAAAAGACAGGTTTGCGGGTGACCCTGACACACTCCTGCTCACCGTACATCCCTGCTCACGAAAGAGGCTGCTGGTTCTAAGCTGAAATGACGCCCCTATGATGTTCACGAGTTTTGCTAGAGCCTTCACTGAAAGAACAGGCTTCTTGACTGAATCAAAAGTGGACCAGACCCCTCACTGAGCCAGCCTCCTACCAAAGCACAGGCATGCAGGTCTGCACCTCCGTGGGCAGCTGTGAAGCCTGTCTCCTGTCGGTAATGACTGTAGGCTGCCATTTCCCACCTCTTCAAAACCAGGACCTACAAAACTACCTTGGTTGTAAGAATTACATTACAAGGTGCATCCTGTTTATCAGAGATGAGAAAAAGCAAATGGACTTGTAATTTCATTATTTTTACCCCCCATTAATGTCAGCATTCAGAACAGCCCTAACCTGCTGGACGCTGTAACCACTGCTGTCTTTTGGCCAGCCGTGCTCCATCCATCATCAAAGTAATTTAAAAGTATCCAGAAAACCCTGCCCTGTTTCATGCAGGGCCAACAATTAGAGATAGCCGAGCTGTTCCTTGTCACAAAGTTCACTATCAGCCCACAAGATTGGCTTTATCTTCAGATTCATTAAAGAATCCATCTGGTCAATGGCTTAGCCCCATGCCCTCGATATGAAATGGAAGACGTAGCCACTAATCTCAGGGTTCATAAAATTAAATGAAAAGGAATAAAGCAGGTCCAACGATAGCCTGTACCTGAGCAAGCAACTGGCCACATTAATTATAGCTATGAGAGAAGTTACTGTCAAGTCCCAAAGACTGGGTGGACGAGTACTTGGGAGGCAAGCAGCGGGAAGGAAACGGAGGGCTCCACTAGGAAGACTCCTGCAGGTGCAGAATCTGGAGGGAGGAGGCAGGGTTCTTACTGGGGAAATGAGGGACTCAGACAAGGTGGGCTGCAGGCTGTTTTCAAGGGAGAATGGCTTGGTGAGGTCAAGAGCCAGCACGGGCATTAAACAGACTTGGCTTTGAGGCCAAGTCACAAACTGAGACCTCCTGGGCCAGTTACTTTACCTCTCTGTGTCTTAGTTGCCTCACTTATAAATGGCACTTATATAGTGCCTACTTGCAAAACATTTGTAAAGGTTCAATGAAAATGCATGTCAAGAGCCCATCACCTTTCCATGCAGAATATGCCAGCTTGTCTTATCTCTGCCCATCAACTCTGTCTAGCACCATCTAGAGAGCACCTCTTGTTTTCTTCTTCCTGACAACCTCTGTGGATAACTTTAGGTGCTACAATGATATGACTGTAACTTTACTGTAGGATGGTATTATACGTGTGCTACTACACATGTTGCATTTAATTTTAAAAATTATTACAGGAGACCAATCTTATCCCAACAGCCTCACCCTGGAAACTGAAAGTATCCACTTGAAGAGGGAAAAAACACTGAGGGGAAAGTAGGCCAACTGGCCTCCAACAAAGGTGGAGTGTGGCCAAGTAAGTACAGCAATGCGATACTTACCAGCACGTCCACATAGAGAATCCAGCAGTGCTCCCGGGGGCTGATGCACAGGGACTTCAGGTCGACGCTGCTCTTATTGTTAAATATGCGGTAGAGGGTGTTAGCAATCTCTGTGCCAAGGTCATCACCTCCTCGACCTTCAAATTCAGGAGTAGCATTGGCTGAACTGTATGAAAGGGCAAAGGAAAAGGGGTGAGTCTTTGCAAAGGCAAAGAGCAAAGGGGCAGACTTTATTCCAGTTTCCTTGTGGGATGTTGGAAGAACCAGCGCTATGAGGAAAGTCACTGAAAGGAGGAAAGGATGGCATCTGTCACTTTCCCAGCCTCCAGACACATCGCCACTATGCCCTGCATGCGTCAGTGTGTGTGATAGGAGTTCCCACTGACTTCTAACAGAAGCCATCCTTACCCAGAGAGAAACAGGAGCATTGGTCAAGTGAACCTCGGCCAGAAACAGTGTATCTGGAGAGTATAATAAAGTGTCTCCTCTGGCAGGCCCAGGAAGCCAGGAGGCCTAGAGAGACAGTCTGGCCTACGGAGGGGTTACATTATAATACATTGTCCCTAGATTTCACAGCCTGAAAATGGACTCTGATACTCTCAAAACAAAAACCACAATGTTGGTACAGTAAGTTTCCTGGAATGATTTAGAAGATATGTATCAGAGTATGCCAGAGTTACATCACAAACTTTAGATGATCACTGTACTGAGAAGCAGGAAAATGAAATAAGAATACCACTGTCCGATTAGATACTAGGTTATCTCTTTTACTTCATTATTTTTCAAGAGAAAACCTTTCCTGTTTTAGCCTCTTGAATTTGATGCCCGATTACCTCAATAAAGAATGAACAAGCATCCACACTGGCCACCCTAAGCACCACTCAACATGTTTAACAGGAAATTTTTGAGGGTTTTGCCTTAACAAAAACAAACCCTTAATACATTAGTAAGATATGTAAACACTCCAGCCTTCATTTTACTTTAATGAATAACGCCCAGAAAGACAAACAACTGTTTCAGTACGGTCTCTACAAAATCACTTACTGAAGCTTTCTGGTCCCCACCCATCTGTCCACCCTCTCATCCATCTGAAGGGCACCCAGCCCTACACTAGGCCCTGGAGACCTTGAGACTGAGCAAGACGGATGCAGACCCTAAGCCAGCAATTCCAATGAAGCAGGGCGGGGGAGTTCCATGATAGGGAGCAAACAGGAGGAGTAGGAGAATGTCAGTCAGTGTTGAGGGTTATAGGAGACCTCAAGCCTGAAGATGAGCAGATGCTGGTCAGGCCATAGACAGGCAGGGGGATTCCAGCCAAAGCAAAACCTGTGTGAAGGCTCAAGGCTGTGCCCACCCTGCTTTGCGCAGTGCCGACAGAAACTTCACCCAGCATATTTAAGTATCCCTTTTGTCTGGTCCATTCTAATACAGATCTGAGAAGGAATCCTAAAATAATCAGAGTGTATTGGTGTATAATAACTCTGCTTCTCTAATCATACAGTCTTCCCTTACCACTATGAGCCAGCAGAGCCCCAGCTTAAAATCCCCAAGAGCAATTTCATTCCTGCCTTAGCAACCTCTCTGTTCCCTCATTGCCTCTGCGAGACTCAGGCACTGAGCCATGAAAAGAAGCTCATTTATGGGAAAATAACCAAGTCACTAGAGACCAGCTTCATTATTTTGCACAGCTAGCAAAACACAACCTGTTTCTGATTTAAACACTAAGCAATCAACATTAAGTTCCAGCTTTTAAGTGTTTAAAAATACATCTATATAGATCTCTGTGTAGATAAATCCAGGCAGAGATGCTTATGCTTAAAATGTTTACCTCTTCCTGATTATAGTGGGCCCCATCCTCCTGGGTGAGACTAATTACTGGGGACTGATGCGTTAGCTCTTGTACAGCCCCAAGGGATGGCTTAAGAACTCCCCAGGTCCAACTGGCTAAATTAATCTACCTGCAAAACCATGCCCCATTGTTCTTTTTTGTTTTTCAACACTAAGCTGATTTAAAGTGGAAATTTCCTCCATTTTAAAAGTTTTTTTTCTTTTTTTAAAACATGTTAACTCTTTCAGCATAGCTGGTAGCCAGGCAGAAAGGAAGGTTTAGAGGCTCATAAGACCATGGAAAGCTCCTATGTCTCCTATGCCCTGGCCATGGAGTGACTCTGGGGAGGAGGCTGGGAAAATGGAAGGAAATTCTTAGGGGGGATGGGGTGTAGTGCTTTGGGTATGAAGGATGAAGAGAAGGGCTGGAGCAGAGAAATGAGGGTTCCACCTCATTGCTAGGGGTTCTTACAGCACAGGACACTTCCTGATAGAGCTGGACAGAAATGCAGACCTGGACAGGGCCTCGGAGACCATCCCTAGAGGACAAAAACCAAATGCCTGCAGGGGCCAGCCAGGCAACCACGTGTATCTCAACCATGGGCTACCTACATGTAATTAATAGGGAGTGCTGGAGACTGTGGCAAACCTTCCAGCCCTGTCTAAAGGCATTTTAATTTGCTTAAAATAAAAAACAAACAAACTCCATTAGTGAAATGAAAATCTTGCAGGTGGGATCTGACCTACGGGATGACGCTGCAAGGCTTCAGATGGTCCAACTCTCATTTTACTAGGAGGGAAACTTTAACAGCTTTTTGGAATGTTTATGCTAGATACCACCTATAGCACTCCCAGGTGTATTAACTCATTTAGTTCTCATAATTCCATGAGGTAGGCGTTATTAGTTGACCCAATTTTAGAGAAAATGAAACTGAGTCACAGAAAGGTTACGTAATTTGTCCAAACTAGTGACAGGGAGCTAAGATTCTAATGCCAGCAGCCCAGCCCTTATCTGCTAGGCTTTGTTGGATTCACCCCGAGCTTGTCCTTTGGCACACTTGGCTGGTAGCCTGACACCAGCCAGGGTAGCGCTCCTTGGGCCTGTCTTATGCCTCAAGGTAATGAATGGGTGTTCTGGTGTTAGGACCTACTACTAGACCACAGATGTCAGAGTCAAGGAATGAAGACCAAGGGAGTCCTAAATAAAATCTTCTCTGTTAAGTACAGAGTTTAAAAAGGGGAGAACACAGGCTGGTGGTCCTAGCCTCTGTTCACAAGCATCACAATATATTCTTTCAGGAGGGGAGTAAACACTTGGGTGGTTTTATTTTTTGGTTTGCTTTTTGGGGTTTTTTTTTTTGGCATAATACAAATGCTTTCTAATTTACAATTACCAAAACCAGTTCAGATCTTTCGTAAAGTATGACCCAGCCTATCTTCCAGGGGTGTTAGGAAATCACTTACTGAGCTGGATAAACTAATAAACATCCTGGGAACGCTGCCCCTCCCAGTTCTCCACATATCCTGACTCATCACTTCCACTCTGCTCTCCTGCTTGGCACATCGCTGGTTTAACTGGAGTAGGCTGAGATCAAGGCCATGTCTACCTGGAACGGGACTTCTGACAATAGGCCCAGTTATTTCCCTTGCAATCAGTCTCACTTGTAAATCTGTGAAGTCTCAGCCAGGTCAGGCTAGGCCCCTGGTAGAAAAAGCGATTTAGTGGGGTACCTGGGGCAAGGATGACTCCAGGCCTTACTCCTCTGGTCATCTAGCTCCGAGGCAGGTCCCAGTTCCTCTGGGGGCACACATGCTCATTTCTGAGTGTGCAGAAGCTCCCCTATAAATGGGTATGGGAACAGTGGCACCTTCTGAACATTTCATTGTAAGCCTTGTTTGAAGTTTCTGGGAGAGTTATCTCATCAGCTCTGGAGACTGTCAGATGACTTCGGCAGGATGCCTCTCTGCTTTGCCCCCACCCTCAGCCCTTCAGCTGAGAACAGTGCTCCCTTCAAGCAGCACAAAGCAGGTAAGAAACAGAGATCAAGTGGCTCCACCCACCAATTCAGGGCTTGAAGCTTCTGGTTCAACATCAGTGAAAAAAACAAGTGATCACTTTGAAAAGTAAAGATCCCAGAGGGAAGTGACAAGTGCTGGGCACAGTGAAATGTCTGTGAATGGAATATGTTCTCCTCAACTCCCCCAGTTAAAAACCGAAGACTGAGACCAAACCACAGTTCCTAAACCCATCAACATGGTGGCCAGAGCCCAGAAGTGACTTGATGGACTGCCACCTGGTGGTAACCAGAGGGACATACCAGCTCATTAGATACTTAAATTCTTCAGAGTTTTAGATGGAAACTCTTCCCCCAAAGTTTCAATGTTCTTATCTAAAATGGCCTATTCTCAGGCTACCACTAACAAACCAAAGACGTGAGACAGGAATTAGAAAGTCTGAGTCTGTTTCCAGCTTAGTGAAAGTGCTGCCAGGCATCTCTGGAGCAGAGCTCAGACACCCCAGGGCTTCCCTTCTCCACTGGTACAGGGCTCAGGGTCCAAGCTGCTGGTACCCTTTCCTAAGTAAACCATTTCCAAGACTCAGGGAAAATCATGGGGGTGGGAGGCAGTGTCTACCCCAAGCTCTATATATTATTCCAAGTAGACACATGGAAGTAGGAGTTAGCAGAAAAGCAGTTCATTTTCTGGGACCTCTCTACCACTGATAATTTAAATAATTAAAACATGGAAGTTGCTGGTAAGCAGTAAAGTCTTGCTGGGCTCAGACTGGCAGAAGGGAACCCCCCACCCCAACCCACTGCAGTTATCCTCCCACTGGGTAACAACTCAGTTTTAGCCTGCAGATGGGTGAGTGCCTTGAGCTCTCGAGCAGAGGCCCCATGCCTGGGGCCTGGGTGGCACTGTGGGCAGACCTTACTGCTGGGCATAGCCGCAGGTGCCCAGAAGCCATCCCCATCCACTGGATTGGAATAAAGGGGTTTATTTGTTTTATGCAATTAAGAGTTAATCCTTGAAGATGCAAATGAGGTTCTGATAAAGGTGACAGCCAGTGGTGCTTGGTACCTTCTCTTTTCTCTGCAGGAAAACGGGGTTCTGTGACTCTCATGGTCATTCTACCCACTGGGCTGATCACACTGAGCCACTTAAAGATACTGAAGTGTGCCACCTTGAGAAACAGATCAGGAGAACCCTTGGGGAATGGAGCTTGCGGGCCTGGTGGGGTTCTCCTGAGACTTACCAAGGGGAAAAAGAGACCAGCAGGCAGCCACTCTCAGCCAAGAGAGAGGCTTACTCCGAGAAGCCAGATCTTGGGAAGAGGCAGCTCAAAGGCTCCTTCTACCCTGGAGCCACCCAAGAGGGTCCCAGCTGGGATAAGGAAGGGACAAGAGCAGCAGGCTAACCTGGAGTCATGTTCAGACACAGAGCCACAATGAAATGTGTCCCTCATACCAAGCATCTGAGTGCAACACCCTGTCTTTGGTGTGGTTGGGCTGACTGCATGTGGTCAGCCTAAGATGAATGAGGCAGAAGATAATGAAGAGGAAGAAAAGGAAAGCAAATTATAGCCCCTAACACATGGTGTCTGCTCCTCAGTGACTGTTTACTGCACTGAATCAGGCAGATCAAGGCAGGAGAGGCATTTTTTTCTTCCTCCAAGAGCAAAGGAGAGGATAAGGCGGAGGCCTGAACAAGGTCATCATCATGCACAGCAACTTAAAGGAGGGACCAGTTCCACCGCACAACTCAGACTGGTGAGGGCAGCTGGGCAGAACCAAGAAGAGAATGCTGGGGGGCCAGGGCAGGGGGCAGGAATGGGCTGGAAGGAAAAATGACCTGAAAGACGAACACAGACACATTCTGGAAGCTCCAAGCACAATATCCCCCGAAAGCTGGCTTCTGCAGGCTGCATGAAGTGGAAAGAGCCAAGATTAGGAGCTGGATAGACCTGAGCTGGCATTACTAGTCATGTGGTCCCAGGAAAGTCACTTGGAACCCCGTGTGAGATCCCTCTCATAGGAGTGTGACGAGGATCCACTTCTGTGTTTGGAAGTAAAGACCAAAGACTGTAGCTCACTATGCAAACGTGGGTTAGCATCTCTGCAGAAAGGGGCTGACATCGCGGGCGCAAGGCCTGCTTGCAAGGTTGGCCCTCCGTTGGCTTCTGGGCCCTCGGCCCTCAGAGTACCCAGTGAACAGTAACCTGTGCCTCGCCTGTGCAAACAATACCTGCCTTCCCTCCAGGAGCCGGGAACTTTGGTATGTGCCAAGCAGAGGGTGCCTGCGTGACCAGCCCCAGTAAAATCCCCGGGTGCTGCATCTCTAGTGGACAGTCTTTTCTCGGGCAGAATCATCACACACGCGTTGCTGCATTTCTGTTGTTGCAACAAATCATAGCTAAGTTCTGACTTCTTTCAGCAAGGCTCCGAATGTAGGGGTGGTCTTGGGGCCCCCCAGTACAGTATCACCTAGAATGAGCTGGCAGAGATCCTCACCCACCTCAAAGTCTGCTGTCACCACCTACCCAGAAGGGGAGTTACAGGCAGAAGATGAGACTGGGCCAGCAACCCGATAAAAAGACCCAACCCCTAGAAGAGGGAGGTAGCAAGAGGGAGAGAGAGAACACTTTTGAAAGCCCCCTTAGCCAATCATTGCACCGGATGCTCACTGTGTTTTCATTACTTCATTTCCTCCTCAGCACAACAGTATTATTATCTCCGGTTTTTCCATAAAGAACTTTAGGCACAGAGAGATTAAGTGATTAGCCTGAGGTCACACAGCTGGCCAGAGGAGGAAGCCAGCAGCAAGGTGGGCCGGCTGGCCGCGGAGACTGCCGAGTCTTTGCTCTTTCCTGCACCCACGCAGCCCACCTGGCTGCCACCCGCCCCAGCCTGTCAGGCTGCTTGGCTGGCCCTCGTCCTTGCTCTGCCAAGCAAGTCATGAAGAGTTTTCTGTAAAGCTAGAGCAGGAAGAGAAGCGGGGCCTTTCAGACCAATGATCCTCATCAGCTCTATTTGGTATTTTTCAAAGCTCTGTAACATCCATCATTTCTTAACTCTCATAACCACTGCGTGCGGGGCTGCCTGGCAGCTGCGCTCCTTTTTCAGGCAGGGAAGATGAGGCCCAGGGAGGGCCAGCTGAGCAGGATGGGGCAGGACCCCAGCCAAGACCTCCTTTCACATTCCCCAGTGCCTGGCACGTATGAGAACTCAGTAAATAGCTGCTGGCTGGCTGGATGATGATTAAATACAAAATAAAAGTGGGCTCAACAGGAAACCAGAGGTTCATTCAAAAATCTTCATTTTTAAATTGTTTTTCTTAAAAACAAAACAAAACAAAAGTAAACATCTTCAGAGTACTCACCAGTCAACAAAGAACTCCAAGTAACCTTCATTTGGTTTCTCTAGCTTCGGTGTCCCCATTTCTGCTTTCACTCCCACTAGGATGTCTGTGTGACCCTGCAGACAGGCAAGAAGGGTCCTCACTTGGGGCAGGCAGCCAGGCACCCCACCACCCCCTCCTCTCCCGGACATACGTTCGGGGGACTCTCTTAGGAGCAGTGCTGGGACTTGGAAAGTGGCCCTTTGAGAAAGTGAGGGTCCTCCAGATCTATGTAGACTCCCTCCCAGAGTTTGGCTTGGATCTTAGATTTCCCCTGGGACAATTTGTGCTCCCAAAGCCCAGAAGGGCCGGCAGCTGATTCCCTAGGGCCTATCTGTTCCTCCACCTGGCCATGGACTGTGGCCACAGCACTCACCAGCTTGACTCTGGCAGACCCACTGGTGTTGGACACCACGTCGGTTTCCACTTCGACACATCGGTAGTCCTCACAACCACGGCCATCCACGCGGAGGTCTTCCTGAGTGTAACAACCACAGTCCTAAGGCTGTGATCCCCAACCTCCAACAGACTCCTAAACTGACTCAACTCCTTATTCCCCCTAGAGAAATATGCAGTACAGCTTCTTTCCTCTTAGTGAATCATCCAAAAATTCTGCCCTCAGAGCTAGTAACATTACTATTTTACATATGAGGAAATGGAGACTCAGAGAAGTTAAGCAACTCGTCTGAGGTCCCACAGCAAAGGAGAGCAAAGCTAGGCTTCCATCCAGGTCTGCCCAAGCACAAAGTCCAATTGACATACCACTATACAGAACAGGCCCACAAAAATGAACAAAATCCGAGCAAGAGACAAAGTCAGCTGCCTCTTTCCAAATCTGCAATTCTGAAGTCACAACAAGAAGTATGGGTTTTCAGGGCTACAGGTACAGCTGGCTCAGCTGTGGTCCTCCTACCCCCCAAACTCAGAAAGACTTACTCTGTACGCAGCTAAGAACAACTAGCTGATAGCTTCTACAACAGGCATTCTCTAGAACAGGGTCGGCAAAGCGAGGCCCGTGGGCCACCTGTTTCTGTAAACCATTCTACTGGATTACGGCCAAGCCCATTCGTGTAGGAATTCTGTGCTGCTGTCACGTTACAACAGCAGAGTTGAGTGGTTGAGACAGAGACTGTATGACCTGCACCCCCAGGATCTTCACTGTCTAGCCCTTTACAGGAAAAGCTGGCCAACCCCTGTGGCAGAAGATGGGTTTCAGGGCGATCCAGTTATTGACTCCCTCAGTTATTTACTTCTATCAGTGTAACTCACAGATACCTATTTTATGTTGTGGTTATAACCCAGTACTAACATTATTTATCTTGTTGTTCAAAGTGATCCAGATTTGGCCACTGAGAGCTCCTTTGGGTTGGTTCCTGCATTCTTTCAACATATCTCCAATTTCTTGTGAGCATTTCTTTACTTCTGACAACACAAGATGTTCCAGCCTCTTATGTCTTCCCTGCCCCAGCCCTGGGATCAGCCCTTTCTTCCAAGCAGCCCTGGTTCCTTTTATTGGAGAGCACTACTTAAAAACCAGGATCTGGGTGCTAAGTTTATTGTCATTGCTTCTACATCTCAGCAGAGCAGAACTTGAAAATATGTGCATTAACCCACACATATACACACGCCTACATTTAGTTGTTTCTATCCACATATCTATTAAAAAGCCATGTGTTCATACTGGGAGTTGGTTCTAACCTTCCTCTTCATCTCATTCATAACTTCTTTCTTAGACAGGGAGAAACCTGGCTCTCATTATCTACAATGTATTTATGTATTTGTTAAATTTGGTATACACATAAAGTAGTTTCAAAATTGCTACCCCATGCCCCTGTGAGAAACAAATTCACTAATACAGTATTTGTGTAGAGTTCTTTTTGTCTTTAGCCTTCTAGCACCCACTCAAAATTCTGTTTCTCCCAGTTGTCTCCCCTCATTCTTCCTGAGCCTCTGTTACTCATTTGCACCCCAATCAAGTTCATTTATAACTGTTGGGGTTCTAGTTTGGGTCCCCCACATCCCGGCTATTTTGGTTACTTATTTACTTTTGTAGTAACAGCTCTAGGAGTCGAAGCTATCAGAAAAGGTGTGCTCACAGAAACGTCACTCTCCCTTTGTCCCTGTTTTCAGGCCCCTTCCCTCTTTTTAGCCCCTCCCACTCACTCCAGGCAGGTATCCCATCTCTTTAGTTACTGTTTCATCTCTCCTGTATTTCCTTTGCACAAATGAACAGATACACAAGTATTTTTATAAGCCTTTCTTTCTTATATAAAAGTTGGCTTACTACAGATAACTCTTTTACACCTTGCTTCTTCTTTTTAAACAATTAACAATACATATGCAGGAAATCACTCCGTATCAGCTCATAGGGATCCTCCTCATTCTTTGTAAACATTTTCTGGAAGCTCTATCAGAAGAAGAATCATTAGCTTCATCGGATTCTCCAAGGGGTTAATGATCCTCAAAACATTCAAAACAAAAACGAAACAACAACAATAAAAAAACCACTGTTGTGAAGTATGCAACTGTCGGAAACTTATCTTTAAACTGCTTGGCTAATTGCACATCTGATTAATTTTTTTTTATTCTGAGAAACTGAAATACAGAAACGGAAAACACTGCGTACTCCCACCACACAGCACTGACTACTACCGTCTGTCATGCTTGTTTCAGCTCTTTCACCCTCTCAACTCCTATTAAAGGAGAGAAAATGAACATCCTAAGTCTGGGTGAAGTCCCTTTGCAGCCCGTCCACTCCCAGCCATTCCCTCCCTTGAGGCAACCCCTCTCTGGAATCTGGGGAGACATGTTCTTGAAAAGCAACAGAATTTCACATCCAGGAGAATTCCAAGCCAGAGGTCTTAACCACAATTTGGCATAGCTTCCTGTGTTCTAAAGGGTCTCTCCACTATGATCTGCAGTCAGCACAGGCCTCCCTAAAAGGACAAACTGGCTGGCTGTCCCAGCTGGTCCTGATGATGGTGACTAACGACTGTGAAAGCGGGGAGGCCACAGGCTGCAGGGCTTCCAACTCCTGCTTTAAATGACCACTCCCTCTGGAAAGATCTAGTCATAACCCTTTGTAGTGACAACCCACTGTCCCAGGATGAGGCTGGAGGGGTGTCAGAAAGCTGGGTCTCACCAGATTTCGCCTTTCCAGCCTGTAAATCACTCTCTGCTCCCTGGGGAAGGCTCAGTTGGGAAGGCTCTGGTGACAAGAGATAAACAAAAAGCTACAAACTTCCCTTTCCAGGGGTGCATGAAGTACACTTTTTTTTCATAGGAAAAGAAAGCACACAACGGGAGAAAAACAACAAAACAAACAATCTAGTCCAAGAATCACTGCACACAGGACAACTTTTTAAAATCCACTTTTCCTCATAAAAGTCTTAGGAAATTGCCCAAACCTGCTTGGCCTGGCTCAGAGCCTGACATCCTACGACAATTCTGAGTCATCTGTAGGATTCAGGAGCAAAGGAATCAGTCCATGTGTGAGCACTGAAACACGTGCAGCCCTGCGGGGAGAGTGCCATCTGCAAAATGAATAGCCATGTCCACAGGTGACACCATGGAGTGCAGCCCTGTCCTTCTCAGCGGAGGGGACAGAGCACCTTTCTAGCAAAGGCTTTCTGGATGCAGGGATGAATCCTGGTGACTTTCAAGTTGTCACCTGAGTGATCCCAACAACCCTGCCAGTTGGGTGTGGTGTGGAGTCACCTCCAACCTATATCTGAATCTCCGCTGTTACTAGCTTTGTGACCTTGAGCAAGTTAGTTCCCCAACAGCCCCGAGTCTGCCTCTTAGTGAGAAAACAGAAATAACCCCAACTTTACAGAGTTACAGGAGAACCCAAAAGCCATAAGTCATTTAAGGAGAGCCCTCAGCACAGTGCAGCGCATGTGTCCCCACTCAGCAGTTCCCTTCCTCCGCCTCTGGTGGCATGCATTACCTCACTGAATCCTAAAAACAACCCAAGAGAGGTGACAGACACGACACTGAGGCACCAAGTTTGGATCTCCTGTCTGTGACAGAGTGGAAAGAAAGACAGAGGACTCAACCCAGAGCTGCTGTTCCTCACACCCAGGTGCCCAGTCTGTTCTACTCCCTAACAGAAGCGGGCACGTCGGCACCCCTAATCCAACGCACCAGGGAGGACTTTTGCTCGAAGTGGTCCTCAGAGGTGACGTTAACACCTGACACCCCTGCTTTGGCTCGTCCAAGGGCGCAGAGCTTGCTAATGGAGACCAGGCCAGGAGGCCTCCCTCCTGGAAAGAGACCCCACTTGGGAAAGGGCCCAGCTCTGCAGGCCCAGGCCCACGGCACAGCAGGGGAAAGGAGGTGCTGATCCTCGTTCCACTTTCCAAGCCTGTTGATGGGCGTTTGATGGGCCTTTAGTTTGGGATTCTGCCCACCTTGGCATGAAACTGATTCTCTTCTTGGAATCTGACCTCTGATCTGGGAAATAGTTGGAAAGAAAAAGGAGTTAAAGAGGAGCTGACAGGTCACGGTGTGGAGGGAGGCTGGACAGGTCTTACTCACAGACTTAAGGAGGTGGGCAGCTTTTACCAAGGTGAAGGGCAGCTGGACAGCAAGTGGCTGCGGAGAAGGGAGGAGGGGAGGTATCACCACAGACACAAAGACAGGCAGAGCTGCCCAGTCCACGAGACCCACAGTGGAGCCCAGGAGAGGCAGGGCCCCAGAGCTGCCAAGCCCTTGCCACAAATCCCCTTTTTCTTGAGATTACTTAATAACCTCTAGCCCTCTGAATCAAAAGAACTTAAATCCCAGCAGCCACAGGCTGAACCCCTAATGGGGTCACAGTGAAGTCTGGGGATATAGTATGGATGGTTCCGGACAAAGCCACACTTCTGATGGAAAAGTCCTGAAAGGGAGCCAACTCCCCTCCAGGGTTGCCCACACTCCAGGTGCTGCATACTCTCTGGTCTCCCCATTCCTCACATCCCATTCTGCCCCCAGATGGATAGGTTCTCATTTTACACGGAGAGCTGGCTCAGCTGCTCAGGTAAAAATCACTCTTACTGCACATGGTGGAGCTGGGAAAGGAGTCCTGCTCCGTCTCACTCCAAGTCCTCATGCAAACAGAGGCAGGAGGCCACGTGTCCTTAGGCGGGAGGAGCAGAGATTTCTGCAGCAGAGGCTAGGCTGGGGCTGGCCAGTGGCGTGCCCGTGGGCCAACATCTGGTGGCTGTATAAAAATCTCCCAACATTTAGGAAAAGGCCCATTCCCAGGACCTGGCCCTGAAGATTCAGATTGAGAAGGTTCCAAGTAAAGCCTGGGAAGCGGTATTTTGTGGGTGAGTAAAAGGCACTCAGGGCTTCAGAATCACTGGGCTAAGATGGGTGTTGGCGATGTCTTTTCATGGAGAAAGAGCACAACTTTAGTCAGTCAAGCAGACCCAAAAAGGATTAAAGCCTAATTCTGGAAATTCTGAGATCTGTCCCCAAATTTTCCATATTGTAAACAGAGGAAAAAAAAGTTTGAGATACAAATTCGTAAAATAAAAGTTGCACAAATAAATGCCAAATAGGGTTCTAAAGAAACTTAGAACTGATATGGGAAAAATACTATGTTAAAATGTAACAATACAGCAATATGTCTGTCTACTATTTAAGGTCTAGAAAAGGGGGGGGGGTTCAGAACTTGCCCTCCCTCATCCTGTTTCCCCACATGCTTTCAGAGGACAGAAGAAAGAGAAGTCGACAAAATGGGGATTCTCTTTGGCCTTTGCCTTTGGATCCCTATTTTAAAAATGGGAACTTGGCCTGAGAGTTGAATTAGGCTTTGCAGTCAGAGATCTCGACTTACATCCCAGCTCCACTTTAAGTAGAGAGGGTAGGGGGTCCCCAGAAAAAGAGAACCAGGCATGGCTTTCTGGACATAAGAGAAGCCATTTGAGGCCTAAGCCTTTCCATGATCTAAGCCTGGCCACAGTACTTGCCCTTAGGAATGAAAGATCTTAAGGGAACAAAAGCAGTGAAGAAATAGTTACGTGATAAAACAGAGCCCTAATTCCTCCTCAAGGGATATACGTAACAATCTGATATGCATCTTTGAGTTGTTCTGCAGGAACTAAGGCCCCCACCTAGGTGGAGGATGGTGACTAGGCTAGGACCCCAAACTGGTCCAAACCTCAGGAATGATTTTGACCTTTTCTGACCCTTGTGACTTCAATCAACTAAAGCTTGGACTCTGGCAACCTTTGCCCCAGTTCTATGCTGAATTCTCTGCTCAAGCCCCCTCATGAATATGCATGTACTGTTAGCTTAAAATTTCTCAAGTTTTGCTGTTGGGGAGACACTGCTTTGGGAAAGATCCTGGTGTTCTCCTTACGTATGGCAAGTAATAAATCCTTTCTTCTCCTGCTCTTTGGCTTGGCTGTGTCTTTTGATTCAACACCCACCGAAAGGCAAACCCAGTTTTGGGGTAAGACGTCCAAGCACATACTGTGTGACCTTGGACAACTGACCTAACCTCTCTGAGCTTAGTTCCTGATCTGTAGAGGTAATACTTACCTTCAGGGCTGTTATAAAGATTCAATGAGATAAACATTATGATAGATCATGTACCTAACAAAAGTGGGACATCTCAGCCTTCAAAGTCTGAGAGGGGATTTAATCAAATCATATATTAAAATATTGATTTATCAACCTTTCCATTTATCCTGCCTCACTCCCTCAGATCCATTCTCTGTCCTTCCCTGCCCTAATCTGTGAACCAGGTTGAATCCCTCCTACTGCATCACCTGGACTCCCTTTGCTGGATTCTGGTTGGGCTTGCCAATGGAAAGTACCAGAAGGAGATCAGAGGGTGCTTCCCACCCCACCCCTGCCACCCTGGGGCCATATTTCTGCCTGCATCTACTCAAGCCTACAACTTCTGTTGGGCAGCTCTTCCTCCAAGGTTCCAGCTATCACTGGCATCTGGCAGCACTGTTTCCTCCCTTGGTCCCTTCGGCCTAGGGGTGGTAGTGCTCCCTGTGGTTGCTAGTTTGGGCTCCTCAGCATCTCTTGTTGGCTCCCCCAAACCTGCCCTCTATAAGAAGGCCCATCATGAAAGTCTCCTGAACTGCCTGAATTGGATTCTGTCTTCTCTGAGGACCTGAAAATGATTCATCCTCCTTTGAAGTGGGCCCCATCCCTCAGTGGCCATGTTTGAGCTGAATGATTCTGTCCATCCTTTCTCCCAACCCAACTGAAACAGAGTTTTTTCTCCCAGGAACACGAGTTTGGAACTGAGCCAGAAGAGCTAGCTTCTTATACAGAGGAACTGTAACCCCAGGAGATGGGGGGTAACAATTTTCTTTCTATCACATTCTTTCTCCCACCTGTCCTGAGAAACAGAAAGCTAATTTGAAGATAGATAAGAATAAAGCAAAGGCATACAAAGCAGTAGAGATGAGCAAGGGAGAACCTGGAGATGCCCTTGAATTTCATTGTTCTTGAATTCCTGGAGAAACACTAGCAGCCTTCGAAAACTTTTTTTTTTGCTTCAGCCAGTTTGTTGGTTACTGTTACCCAAAAACTGGGTTCACCTCTTGGTGGGTGTTGAGCCAAAAGACACAACAAAGCCAAAGACTAGGAGAAGGATCTACTACTTGCAGCAAGTAAGGAGAACACCAGGGATCTTTCCCAAAGCAGTATCTCCCCAAACAGCAAAATTGGGCAAATATTAAGCTAAGGGTACATGCATATTCATGAAGGGGTTTGGGCAATGTATGCATGTTCATAAAGGGGCTTGAACAAAAAGAGTTCAGCATAAAACTGGGGCAGATATCAACAGAGTCCAAGCTTTACTTGACTGAAGTCAAGAGGGTCAGAAAAGGTCAACATTATCATCCCTTTAGGTTCCAGTTGTTCTGGTGGTTGACAGCTTCAGGCAAATTTTTACCACTGAAACATAACTGAGAGTCTTTACAACTGATATGTTTGCTATTGTTACTTCTTTTGCCTGAACAGTTGTTTGGGCATTCTTTTGTTCCCTTAAGATCATCAATTACTGAGACCTGTTCAAGGACAAGTATTGTGGCCAGGCTTAGATTACAAAATGGCTTAGGCTGAAAATGGCTTTTCTTATGTCAAGAAAGCCACATCTGGTGTCTAGGGGACCACCTACCCTATCTGCTTTTATTACTGTTACCAGCAACTGAATCCTCAACACACATTGTGAGGTTAATTTCAACTGCTTTTACTTCATTTATTTATTTTAGTGGAGGTACTGGGACTGAACCTAGGACCTTGTGCATGCTAAGCATGCACTCTACCACTGAGCTATACCCTCCCTGCTTTCAACTGCTTTTAACTACCACTAAACCAAGGTAAAATATCCCTGAAATAGTAAAGGAATCAAAGGCTAAAAGTAAAGAGATGCCAGAAGCTAAAACTGACCATACAGGACCAAAGGTGAAAAGTAAAACAAAAAAAGATTAGTTCTGTGAGGGCACTGCTGGCACTCAAAGATCAATGAAACAAAAGTTTAGGTTTTTTTAGAACTGTGGAGATCCTGTGGTAGGCTCATTTACATGCATTCTACCTTCATTCATAAATACAGAAATCTGTTTCCTCCAGAAATACAGCAAATTTGTGGCCAATGTTAACAGTGCTTATGAAGAGATTTATTTCAAGTCAGTTACTGTGCATGCCTCTGTGATAGAGCAGAGCATTTACCAACAATTGTGGCCCTAATTGTGGTCCATGATGCTGGTGAGAGGTTTAATTTAAAAAATGAAAACACTGTCCAACTCTTCTCCCTTTTACTCCTTCAGTGTTACTGAGTACTTTCCAAGTGCTGGACACTGACTAAAACTTAAGGGTCCCATACAGACAAGTCAACAGATTATTACCTTCCAAAATCTATGATGAGTGACTGAGCCTCTAAGAGGCCTGCAAATGAACCTTCTACCATTTCCCCTAGTCAATCTATGTGGCTCCATGCTTCTTTCACCAGAAGGGGCTATGGACTCACCATCCTTCCTTCTGTAAGGCTCAAGCCCTACTTAATTCTTAGTCATGCTGAGAGCTCAGCTCAAATGCTGTTTCCTAAGGGAAGCCTCCCCAACCTCCCAGACTAGATCAGGTTTCTGATTTTTGTTTTTCCTTCACAGCATTCGGTACAATTTTACATATAAATACACAAATAGATCTGTAATTTCAGTCTCTACCTTCTAGCATGGGAGGTATGTTAAGGGTAAGCACCTTCCTATCCCTTGAGTCTAGGTTGAATGAATAAATATTGAGTCCTGAAAATACACAGGAGGATCTCCTGACCTGGATTTAGGGAAGGAATTCCATCCCCCTAAGGAAGCCTTCAGAACATGACAGTCCTCAGTATTCTGTAGCTCCTTTGACCCCCACTAACTATACTGCTCCCTTGGCAAATATCTTATATTCCATTGCCTTTTTTCATCTCTGAAATAATAAAGGAATTGGAGACTGATGGAAACGGACACCAGAAGCTGAACTTGACCACACTAGGTGAAAGTGAAAAGTAAAACAAAATGATTACGTCTGTACAGGCAGGAACAGGATTATGGCTAGGCTTTGGTAAGACGTTTAGGAGACGTCTCTAAACTAGGGAGGTTTATAGACAAGACACACTTGGCTTTCCCTGGTAGCTCATTACTAGGCCCAATATTCTCCAACTCTCGTTCTGGAGTAGTCAAAGCCAGAGGTTGAAGGCTGCGCACAGAAGATCTTAACATAGTTACAGCTACCTCTGGGGATCTTAGTTCTCCACTGGCAAAAGGGAAACAGCAAGGATTATGCTACCGGCAGTGGAGTTGCTTTTTAAAACACCTTCCCCCTTTATCTGTAAGGCGATTTATATTTTCAAAGCGCTTTCACTCGGGTGCCTCCTCTCCCTGTGCCTCCCAACCAGTTGGCGTGGCCAGAAGCCCACCAACCCCCATTTCCTAGAAGAGAAAAGTGAAGCTCAGCCCAAGGAAACGACACGAGAAGGTTGAAAAGATGGCCCTGGTAGCAATGCTCCCATTCTAAGAAAAGGCCTCAGGGACTACCCACCGCTTCCTACCCGGGTTCAGAACCTTGTAGCCCCAGAAAACTGCAAGTACGTATACAATCCTAAATAGATGCTCGCCGCCGGGTCCTAAATACGCTCGCTTTGCCGACTTCGGGCTGCACTCGCCGGCAGCAGAGCGATTTCATCACAAGGTAAATCCAGTCCGCCGCAGCCCCCTGGACGAACCGAGGGCCCGCAGCGACCCGCAGGACCAGGGGAACCCGGCGGCCGGCGTCGGCCGCCGCTGCTGCCGCTACCTGTACGCCGTGCAC